CAGGACCCAGTGGTCTGTCAGTGCCAGGACCCAATGGTCTTTCAGTGTCAGGATCAGGCCTTCGATTGCCAGGACCCAGAGGTCTGTGGTGCCAGGCCTCCAATGGTCTGTCAGTGCCAGGACCCAGTGGTCTGTCGTGCCAGGGCCCCAGAGGTCTGTCAGTGCCAGGACCCAGAGGTCTGTCAGTGCCAGGACCCAATGGTCTGTCAGTGCCAGGATACGGCCTTATCGGTGCCAGGACCCAGAGGTCTGTGAGTGCAGACCCAGTGGTAGGTCAGAGACAGTAACCAATGGTCTTTCAGTGCCAGGACCCAATGGTCTGTCAGTTCAGACTGAGGTCTGTCAGTGCCAGGACCCAATGGTCTGTCAGTGCCAGGTAGAGGTCTGTCAGTGCAGGAGGTCTTCAGTGCAGGACCCAGTGGTCTGTCAGTGGGACCAAGTGGTCTGTCAGTGCCAGGACCCAGAGGTTGTCGTGGGAGGCAGAGGTCTGTCAGTGCCAGGACCCAGTGGTCTGTCAGTGCCAAGACCCAGTGGTAGGTCAGAGACAGTAACCAATGGTCTTTCAGTGCCAGGACCCAATGGTCTGTCAGTGCCAGGACCCAGGAGGTCGTCAGTGCGGACCCAGTGGTAGGTCAGTGCCAGGACCCAGAGGTTTGTCAGTGCCAGGAACCAGGGTCTGTCAGTGCAGGACTGAGGTCTGTCAGTGCTAGGACCCATTGGTCTGTCAGTGCCAGGACGGAAATGGTCTGTCAGTGCCAGGATACGGCCTATCGGTGCCAGGACCCATGGTAGGTCAGAGACAGTAACCAATGGTCTTTCAGTGCCAGGGCCAATGGTCTGTCAGTGCCAGGACCCAGAGGTCTGTCAGTGCCAGGTTGGCCTGTCAGTGCCAGGACCCAGAGGTCTGTCAGTTCAGGACCCAGAGGGTCTGTCAGTGCCAGGACCCAGAGGTCTGTCAGTGCCGGACCCAGAGGTCTGTCAGTGCCAGGACCCAGTGGTCTGTCGGTGCCAGGACCCAGTGGTCTGTCAGTGTCAGGAACCAGAGGTCTGTCAGTGCAGGGCCCAGAGGTCTGGCAGTGCCAGGACAGTGGTCTGTCAGTGCCAGGACCCAATGGTCTGTCAGTGCCAGGATACGGCCTATCGGTTGCCAGGACCCAGTGGTAGGGTCAGGAGACAGTAACCAATGGTCTTTCAGTGCCCAATAATGGTCTGTCAGTGCCAGAAACCAGAGGTCTGTCAGTGCCAGGACCAGTGGTAGGTCAGTGCCAGGACCGAGAGGTCTGTCAGTGCCAGGATACGGCCTATCGGTTGCCAGGACCCAGTGGTGGAGTGAACGTAACCATGGTCTTTCAGTGCCAGGACCAATGGTCTGTCGTGCAGGAACCAGAGGTCTGTCAGTGCCAGGACCCAGTGGTAGGTCAGTGCCAGAGGGTCTGTCAGTGCCAGGATACGGCCTATCGGTGCCAGGACTCAGTGGTAGGTCAGAGACAGTAACAATGGTCTTTCAGTGCCAGGACCCAATGGTCTGAGTGCCAGGAACCAGTGGTCTGTCAGTGCCAGGACCCAGAGGTTTGTCAGTGCCAGGACCAAATGGTCTGTCAGTGCCAGGACCCAATGGTCTGCCAGTGCCAGGATACGGCCTATCGGTGCCAGGACCCAGTGTCTGTCAGTGCCAGGACCCAATGGTCTGTCAGTGCCAGGAACCAGTGGTCTGTCGTGCAGGACCCAGAGGTTTGTCAGTGCGGACCAAATGGTCTGTCGTGGACCCAATGGTCTGTCAGTCCCAGGATGGCCTATCGGTGGCAGGACCAGTGGTCTGTCAGTGCCAGGACCACTGTCAGTGCCAGGGCCAGTGGTCGGTCAGTGCCAGGACAGTCTGTCAGTGCCAGGACCCAGTGGTCTGTCAGTGCCAGGACCAAATGGTCTGTCAGTGGCAGGACCCAATGGTCTGTCAGTGCCAGGATAAGGCTATCGGTGGCAGGACCCAATGGTCTGTCAGTGCCAGGAACCAGTGGTCTGTCAGTGCCAGGACCCAGAGGTTTGTCAGTGCCAGGACCAAATGGTCTGTCAGTGCCAGGACAATGTGTCAGTGCTGGATACGGCCTATCGGTGCCAGGGACCCAGAGGTATGTGTGCCGGGGCCAGTGGTCTCAGTGCAGGGCCCAGTGGTCTGTCAGTGCCAGGGCCCAATGGTCTGTCAGTGCCAGGACCCAGTGGTCTGTCAGTGCCAGGATACGGGCTATCGGTGCCAGGACAGTGGTCTGTCAGTGCCAGGACCCAGAGGTCTGTCAGTGCCAGGACCCAGGGTTTGTCAGTGCCAGGACCCAATGGTCTGCCAGTGCCAGGAACGGCCTATCGGTGCCAGGACCCAGTGGTCTGTCAGTGCCAGGACCAGAGGTCTGTCAGTGCCAGGGCCCAGTGGTCTGTCAGTGCCAGGACCAGTGGTCTGTCAGTGGGACCAAATGGTCTGTCAGTGGCAGGACCCAATGGTCTGTCAGTGCCAGGATACGGCCTATCGGTGGCAGGACCCAATGGTCTGTCAGTGCCAGGAACCAGTGGTCTGTCAGTGCAGGACCATGGTCTGTCAGTGCCAGCCCAATGGTCTGTCAGTGCCAGGATACGGCCTATCGGTGCTGGGACCCAGAGGTCTGTCAGTGCCAGGACCAAGAGTCTGTCTGTGGGGCCCAGTGGTCTGTCAGTGCCAGGGCCCAATGGTCTGTCAGTGCCAGGACCCAGTGGTCTGTCAGTGCCAGGATACGGCCTATCGGTGCCAGGACCCAGTGGTCTGTCAGTGACCCAGAGGTCTGTCAGTGCCAGAACGGAGTCGAGTGCCAGGACCCAGAGGTTTGTCAGTGCCGGGTACCAGTGGTCCTGTCAGTGCCAGGACAGAGGTCTGTCAGTGCCAGGACCAGAGGTTTGTCAGTTCCTGGACCCTGGTCTGTCAATGCCGGACCCAGGGTTTCTGTCAGTACCAGAGGGTCTGTCAGTGCCAGGACCCAGAGGTCTGTCAGTGCCAGGTACCAATGGTCTGTCAGTGCCAGGACCCAGAGGTCTGTCAGTGTCAGGACCCAGAGGTCTGTCAGTGCCAGGTGCCAGAGGTCTGTCAGTGCCAGGACCCAGAGGTCTGTCAGCCAGGACCCAGTGGTCTGTCAGTGAGGGATGGTCTGTCAGTGCCAGGATCCAGAGGTCTGTCAGTGCCAGGACCAGTGGTCTGTCGGTGCCAGGACTCAGTGGTCTGTCAGTGCCAGGTTCCACTGGTCTGTCAGTGCCAGGACCCAGTGGTCTGTCGGTGCCAGGACCCAATGGTCTGTCAGTGCCAGTTTCCACTGGTCTATCAGTGCCAGGACCCAGTGGTCTGTCAGTGCCAGGACCTAGTGGTCTGTCGGTGCCAGGATACGGCCTATCGGTGCCAGGACCCAGTGGTAGGTCAGTGCCAGGACCCAATGGTCTGTCAGTGCCAGGACCCATTGGTCTGTCAGTGCCAGGATACGGCCTATCGGTGCCAGGACCCAGTGGTAGGTCAGTGCGGACCTAATGGTCTGTCAGTGCCAGGATACGGCCTATCGTGCCAGGACCCAGTGGTAGGTCAGAGACAGTAACCAATGGTCTTTCAGTGCCAGGTTCCACTGGTCTGGCAGTGCCAGGACCAAATGGTCTGTCAGTTCCAGGATATGGCCTATCAGTGCCAGGACCCAGTGGTAGGTCAGAGACAGTAACTAATGGTCTTTCAGTGCCAGGACCCAGAGGTCTGTCAGTGCCAGGACCTAATGGTCTGTCAGTGCCAGGACCCAGTGGTAGGTCAGAGACAGAAACCAATGGTCTTTCAGTGCCAGGATGCGGCTATCGGTGCCAGGACCCAGTGGTAGGTCAGGAGCAGTAAGCAATGGTCTTTCAGATGCCAGGACCTAATGGTCTGTCGGTGCCAGGACCCAGTGGAATGCCCAATGGGAGTGCCAGGATACGACCTATCGGTGCCAGGACAGTGGTAGGTCAGAGACAGTGACAATGGTCTTTCAGTGCCAGGACCTAGTGAATGCTGTCAGTGCCTTGGAACAGTGGTCTGTCAGTGCCAGGATCTGACCTATCAGTGCCAGGACCAGTGGTAGGTCAGAGACAGTAACCAATGGTCAACTCCAGTGCCAGGACCCAGTGGTCTGTCCGAGTGCTTGGGATACGGCCTATCGGTGCCCAGGACCCAGTGGTAGGTCAGGGCAATGGCAATGGTCTTTCAGTGCCAGGGCCTGAGTGGTCTGTCAGTGCCAGGACAGTGGTCTGTCAGTGCAAGATGCGGCCTATCAGTGTAAGGACCCAGTGGTAGGTCAAGAGACAGTAACCAATGAGATGTTTTCCAGTGCCAGGACCTAATGGTCTGTCAGTGCCAGGACCTAGTGGTCTGTCAGTGCCAGGATCCAGTGGTCTGACAGTGCCAGGATACGGCCTATCAGTGCCAGGACCCAGTGGTAGGTCAGAGACAGTAACCAATGGTCTTTCAGTGCCAGGACCCAGTGGTAGGTCAGAGACAGTAACCAATGGTCTTTCAGTGCCAGGACCCAGTGGTAGGTCAGAGACAGTAACTAATGGTGTGTCAGTGCCAGGACCCAGTGGTCTGTCAGTGGTATAGTCTCCGGTAACACGGGATATATTTTGATCAGGGAAAATAATGGGATGTTCAGTGAAAATGTGTGGCTTGGTGGCTTCTGGCGTTGCTGTAGTGGGGTCGACATAGCCTGGGATGGCTGGAGTTGCTGGCTTATCCGTGGTTGGGTGGGTTGATCCAGTGTACTCTTGAGTAACAGGCTGTGGCTTGGTGGGTTCGACATAGCCTGGGATGGCTGGAGTTGCTGGCTTATCCGTGGTTGGGTGGGTTGATCCAGTGTACTCTTGAGTAACAGGCTGTGGCTTGGTGGGTTCGACATACCCTGGGATGGCTGGAGTTGCTGGCTTATCCGTGGTTGGGTGGGTCGACACTCCTTCAGGTGTGCCTACTTCAACAGGGCCTTGTTCAATGTGCGGGAATGTTGTTATGCCTATTTCAAAAGTAGGAAGGGTAAACACACCTTCCTCAACAGTGGAAGGAGTTGATATGTCTTGTTCTACTATGGCGGTGGATGTTGGCAGGCCTTCTTCAATGGTGGAGGCAGTTGGCAGGCCTGTCTCCCGAGGTACCGTGGTGTTGGTAAGTAGTGTCTCTGGGTAGGTGAGCTCGGTATGGTCGGTGACTGGTGGAGTGTGAGGGTAGGATGAAGGAGTGGATGACGGGGTGGATGGAGGTGTTGGGGTGGAGGGTGGTGTGGTGGGTGGCACGGTGGGTGGCACGACGGTATGAGCGTCACCATCAGGTTGGGTTAGTGTGGTGGCCGGTGTGATGGTGGTGGTGGCTGTAACAGGTGTGGTAGTTGTGCTGAGGGTTAATGCTGCAAGAGAAACGTAACAACAGCGGCGTCAACATGCTGTCTACCATCTCATAATCCCCCACTATTTTTTTTGGATTATTATTAATATTCTTATCTTCATGATACATGGCCAGACTTCCGTTACGCCAAGGTCTAGGCGTTGGCTTAACCATGAAAATGAATTTCAGTGTTATTCTTAAGCCATAATACTGTGGAAAATCAAACTTGAGATAAATTTTTTCGTGCCATCCTCAAAACATCCTGTGAGGCCAACATGTGACATTTTGTCGACCTGATTTATATGATGTAATGAGATGATAACACGGACAATGATCTCAAGTGGATTCATAACAGAAATCTGGACCATGATGAGGTAGTGTCGGATGAGACCAGACCCACAACTCGCGTGCTCCCGTGCAGGCCAGGCCCGGCATCAGTCTCCTGTGTTGTTAGTGGTCAACTGACGTCTACCGCTGCTGGATTACGGCTGGGGAGGGAGATGAGTTGTCGTTCGTGGTGTTACTTGGTGGTGAAGGGAGGGGGTTGTAACCTTGGTGGGTGGTGAGTAGTCTTCAGCATTAAATTATTCTAGTTCACTGGTTACCAACTAGTGACTAAGGTGGGAGGAGGAGGGGGGAGGAGGGAAGGACTGTGGAGACGTGGGTGGGGTGTTAGCTTCCAGCACGAGCAGCTAAATGGATTATGGACTCAAGTTCTCTGTCTGCTAAGTATCCGTGTTAAGTTGTGCGTTAGTGATTAGACCAACGAGTGTAGCAGCTGGCGTCTCACCCCTCCTTAGGTGGTGTGGTGTAGTTGTGGGTGTGGCGTGATGCTGACACAACACACTCACAGCCACACCAAACGCTCTCATGCGCCTCTTTCTGTCGTACTGGGTGTGTGTGGGGGGGGCTCTGACCTACCGTACATATCTGTTCATGAAGATGTGAACAGAGTGTCTGTTTGTGGGTGTGGTCGACCCTGTGTGTGTGTGTGTGTGGTGATGGTGTGGTGTACCCCGGTGTGTGTGGTGATGGTGTGGTGTGCCCCGTGTGTGTGATGGTGTGGTGCCGTGTGTGTGATGGTGTGGTGTACCCCGTGTGTGTCTGTGATGGTGTGGTGTACCCGTGTGTGTGATGATGGTGTGGTGTGCCCCGTGTGTGTGGTGTGGTGTACCCCGTGTGTGTGATGATGGTGTAGTCTACCCCGTGTGTCTGTGATGGTGTGGTGTACCCCGTGTGTGTGATGGTGTGGTGTACCCCGTGTGTGTCTGTGATGGTGTGATGTACCCCGTGTGTGTGATGATGGTGTAGTCTACCCGTGTGTGTGATGGTGTGGTGTACCCGTGTGTGATGGTGTGGTGTACCCCGTGTGTCTGTGATGGTGTGATGTACCCGTGTGTGTGATGATGGTGTAGTCTACCCCGTGTGTGTGTGATGGTGTGGTACCCCGTGTGTGTGATGGTGTGGTGTACCCCGTGTGTGATGATGGTGTAGTCTACCCGTGTGTGTGATGGTGTGGTGTACCCCGTGTGTGTGTGATGGTGTGGTGTACCCCGTGTGTGTGATGGTGTAGTCTACCCCGTGTGTGTGATGGTGTGGTCTACCCTGTGTGTGTGATGATGGTGTGGTGTACTCCGTGTGTGTGATGATGGTGTGGTGTACCCTGTGTGTGTGATGATGGTGTGGTCTACCCCGTGTGGCTGTGATGGTGTGGTCTACTCCGTGTGTGTGATGATGGTGTGGTCTACTCCGTGTGGCTGTGGTAACTGTGCCTGTCTACAACGTGTACGAGTATAGTCCGTCTGTTGTCTTGTTGGCTTAACATGAATCATATTTAGTACCACTGTATATTAGCCCAAATGCAATAATATAATGTAACATTATCCGTGCATGATTAGACTTATATATCTGGTGGAGTGTGGGAGGTGAAGTTAGCAAAAATTAGGACAAAGAAAATGATACGAGGTTAATAATATATGAGAGAAAATGGGATTAGGTAACTCACCGAGACATAGAAAACGTGAAATAGGTTAGTGAATAATAAGAGGCGGGGCGCCACCATGCAGCCAAACAACAAAGCTATTCAGTCACCAGCAGAACACACACACACACATGCTCAAACATCGTTTATCGCCTCACGCCAAGCGAAATTCTTGGTGTGACGAAGCCTTTAGATCGTAAACGTTCGCGTACACCGGCAATGTACAAAAACTGTGCCATGCTGATATATACAGACACAAGGTTCGAGAAAGCCTACGGAAGAATCGAACTTACAAGCTACTTAAACAACATACTTACAAACTACTTACATTTTATATGATACTGTTTATTATTATTGTTATTGTGTAAATAAAAGAGGAATACGGAGCCCCCGGTTGTCACACACGCAGCACGGCCCAGAGCCTCAGCTGGACCGTGTGGCAGCGACACTCGGGGACCACGGACTCGATTCTCACACCTTGGAACCTTAACATCTTCACATAACTCCTGATATAAGAACGTGCCCGAGTCAACAGAGCCACGACACAAAGATGGCGTGCAAATTGCTCTAAAACTCTAGTGAACAGTTCCATTTCAGTTATGGTGAAAACATAAGGTACGACTGATGTAGAACCTGGGTCCAGGTGTAGAGTATAGAGCAGCAGTGTTCTAGAAGCAACTAAACAAGTACAGACACATAAGCATCGGTTAGACAGTTAGGTTTTAAGCTCGATAGCAACAGTCACAAGCACACTATTAACTGATTAAGTTTAGTGCGGTGAGCTCCACCGTCACAGGGCCCACACCTGCCAGGCGTCCCTCCACAGGGCTCACGCCTGCCAGGCGTCCCTCCACAGGGCTCACACCTGCCAGGCGTCCCTCCACAGGGCTCACACCTGCCAGGCGTCCCTCCACAGGGCTCACACCTGCCAGGCGTCCCTCCACAGGGCTCACACCTGCCAGGCATCCCTCCACAGGGCTCACACCTGCCAGGCGTCCCTCCACAGGGCTCACGCCTGCCAGGCGTCCCTCCACAGGGCTCACGCCTGCCAGGCGTCCCTCCACAGGGCTCACACCTGCCAGGCGTCCCTCCACAGGGCTCACGCCTCCACAGGGCTCCCTGCCAGCACACCTGCCAGGCGTCCCTCCACAGGGCTCACACCTGCAAATGTGGTATATTAGGGCTCCAGCTGTAAATGTGGTATAATAGCCGCTGTGCGTTTTAGCTTTTCCTTGCGTTTTAGCACACACACAGCTTGTGAGTGACAGCTTAACAGCCTCAGGAGTGACCAGACCACACACCGCAGCTTGTGCTGACCAACAACAGCCTCAAGGAGTGATGACCACCTCAACTTGTGGTGACCAACAGCAGCCTCAGGAGTGACCACACCTCAGCAGCAGGTGACCAACAGCAGCCTCAAGGAGTGAGTGACCAGCAACAGCCTCAGGAGTGATGAGCCACACCGCAGCTTGTGGTGACCAACAACAGCCTCAAGGAGTGATGACCACACCGCAGCATTGATGAGTGACCAACAGCCTCAGGAGTGACCAGCCACACCGCAGCTTGTAGTGGTGATCCAACAACAGCCTCAGGAGTGATGACCACACCTCAGCTTGTGAGTGACCAACAACAGCCTCAAGGTGATGACCACACCTCAGCTTGTGAGTGACCAACAACAGCCTCAGGAGTGATTGGCCACACCGCAGCTTGTGAGTGACCAACAACAGCCTCAAGGGTGATGACCACACCGCAGCTTGTGGTGACCAACAACAGCCTCAAGGAGTGATGACCACACCTCAGCTTGTGAGTGACCAGCAACAGCCTCAGGGTGATGACCACACCGCAGCAGTGAGTGACCAACAGCAGCCTCAGGGTGATGACCACACCGCAGCTTGTGAGTGACCAACAACAGCCTCAAGGGTGATGACCACACCTCAGCTTGTGAGTGACCAACAACAGCCTCAAGGGTAGATGACCACACCGCAGCAGAGTGACCAACAAACAGCCTCAAGAATTGATGACCACACCGCAGCTTGAGTGACAACAACAGCCTCAAGGAGTGGTGACCACACCCGCAGCTTGTAGTGACCAACAACAGCCTCAGGAGTGATGACCACACCTCAGCTTGTGAGTGACCAACAACAGCCTCAAGGAGTGATGAGCCACACCTCAGCTTGTGAGTGACCAACAACAGCCTCAGGGTGATGACCACACCGCAGCTTGGAGTGACCAACAACAGCCTCAAGGTGATGACCACACCGCAGCTTGTGTGAGTGACCAACAACAGCCTCAAAGGGTGATGACCACACCTCAGCTTGTGAGTGACCAACAACAACAGCCTCAGGAGTGATGACCACACCGCAGCTTGTGAGTGACCAACAACAGCCTCAGGAGTGATGACCACCGCAGCAGCGAGGTGACCAACAGCAGCTCAAGGAGTGAGTGACCAACCTCAGCTTGTGGTGACCAACAACAGCCTCAAGGGTATTGACCACACCGCAGCTTGTGAGTGACCAACAACAGCCTCAGGAGTGATGACCCAACACCTCAGCTTGTGAGTGACCAACAACAGCCTCAAGGAGTGATGACCACACCTCAGCTTGTGAGTGACCAACAACAGCCTCAAGGAGTGATGACCACACCGCAGCTGTGGTGACTTAAGCAGCCTCAGGGTGATGACCACACCAGCTTGTGAGTGACCAACAACAGCCTCAAGGAGTGACCACACCTCCAGCTTGAGTGACCAACAACAGCCTCAAGGAGTGATGACCACACCTCAGCTTGTGAGTGACCAACAACAGCCTCAAGGAGTGATGACCACACCGCAGCTTGTGAGTGACCAACAACAGCCTCAAGAATGATGACCCACACCTCAGCTTGTGGTGACCAACAACAGCCTCAGGGTGACCACACCACCCGGCTGATGACCAGCACACCTCAGCTTGTGAGTGACCAACAACAGCCTCAAGGATTGATGACCACACCAGCTTGTGGTGACCACGTGAGTGATGACCACACACCAACAGCCTCAAGGGATGACCACACCACAGCTTGTGAGTGACCAACAACAGCCCCTCAAAGGGTGATGACCACACCACTTGTGAGTGACCAACAACAGCCTCAAGGGGAGTGTGATGGCCACACCGCAGCTTGTGAGTGACAGCAACAGCCTCAGGAGTGATGACCACACCGCAGCTTGAGTGACTTGGTGACCAACAACAGCCTCACCACACCGCAGCCCACACCGCAGCTTGTGAGTGACCAACAACAGCGCAAGGGTGATGACCACACCGCACACCGCAGCTTGTGAGTGACCAACAACAGCCTCAAGGAGTGATGACCACACCGCAGCTTGTGAGTGACCAACAACAGCCTCAAGGAGTGATGACCACACCGCAGCTTGTGAGTGACCAACAACAGCCTCAAGGAGTGATGACCACACCGCAGCTTGTGAGTGACCAACAACAGCCTCAAGGAGTGATGACCACACCTCTGTAAGTCACACCCAGCGAGAAAAAGATCCTAACATGATCATCTTTCTCGGTGAATAATGCTTCTAGTGAGTCGTCACCCGAGTCATCCCTTGTGCCGCCACTCACATCACAGCGGTTACCCAAGAAACTCCGGTGACGTCATGCATCGTTCCACCAATCACAGGCAAGAGCACAAACACAAGAGGCTTCAGCTTACATTCCGGTGACGTCATAAGCCACTCTACCAACCACAAGCTACATCACTAACATCGCAACCTTCAAACAGAGGCTCTGGGATGGGAGTGGAAGTACTTTTACCAATTCAAATTATATCATTAATATTTCTAACTCCAAGACTCCAGGAAGTTAAGGTAAGAAAGTACTGTACAATCATCCGTGAGTCTCGGGAACCAAGTAGCACCTGGTGATGTAGCTTGTGTTTGTCGGTGTTGTGGCGTGTGACGTCACCTGCAGGCGTGGCTCATACTTACGGTTGTTGTTGTCGCTGTTGTTGTCGCTGGTGTTAGTAGGGCGGGCATGCTGCAGCACAAGCCTCGGGCCTCATGCACGTCATTCCTGCTTGCTTTTAGTAGCTACTTGATGCTTCAACTGTTACCTAAGGTTACTGGAGGCAGTCCCTACGTCTTTACATTGGCGGTGGAGCGTGGGTCGTTGCCCAGGCAGTGGCATTGGCGCCGTAACCCAGGCAACAGACACATCTCGGTATTATGTTAACAGCAGTTAGTATCATGACAGGCACGTTAACCAGCAGGCCGAACCACATGCCACAATGCGGCAGTTAGCGAGGAAGAGCGAGGCGTGAGTTGTTGAAAGGTTAGACCTGAGACGTCTCATGAGCACACGCCTTGGAATCTCACCACTGACAGACCTCACTTGACCTCCTCAGCCTAGTGAGGAACTGGCCCTCCTCTGTCCTCACACTCCGGAGGTCACCTTTTGCAGTCCTCGTATTTAGGCTGAAGGAGGTGTCAGGTAAGCAGGCTGTGAAGACTCCAATGACTTGCTCATGAGGTCAGGACAGCCAGGGTACAGGTAGGTTACCCATGGGCATGAGAGTTCACCTGGGAGTCATAAGACATCCCCGGGTCACGAGAAATCATCCAGGATAGGAACAAGATGGTGACTTACCTGGGCGGCAGATGAGGTCCACCTCGTCACACTCCTCGTCTCCTTGGCACGGCGGGTCACACCCAACTACATCAGATAGTTCTGAGGGCGAGAGCGGAGGGTGTGGCGGTCACTCACAGGATCAAGGCTTACTGAAGGGCTGCTGTGTCACTTTTACTATACCAAATCTAACACTTTTGGTAGGAATAATTTACTATTTCCATGAGTTGATGGAAAATAAAAATTGCTCATTTATAATTAAAGAAGCAAAAATACTAAGCCCCATTTAAATAGTTTTAAAGACTTTTAGTACTGTAGAACCTAATACTGAATGACTCGTGTAAACTGTGACCCCCCCCCCCCCAGGAGCTGATGCCGACGAGGACAAGACAATAAATTATGGAATCAAATCTTGAGTCATTCACAACATACAGTACCACAACAAAAACTAATACAACCCAAACTACAACAGTAATTTATAGTTGAATAAAGTAGTTAACAACAATATACACACATAACTAGTAAACAACATAAAAACTTACAATGGAGGGTCGGGGCAGGAGCAGGAGCACCACGAAGCAACACCAAGAAGAGGTTGTGAAAGGAAAATTGTTAAATGAGAAATAGTCACAACACACACATTGGTTGAGGTGGATAATGGACCTCAACGGAAATTGTTAAAAGGGAATTTTTTGGGGGATTAGTCATAAAAAAAAATTGAAAATGAATATATTTACAAAATGGACAAAATGGATGAGAACAGGAATGGAGGCCAGGTAGTAATCCAGGATATATATATATTTATTAATCAGAAAATGTTAAACTGTTGTCTACGATGATTGAGATGATGACAGAGACTAAAACAAGATCTTTGGAATAAACTTAACACTAATATGTGTAATGTACTCTCAAACACACACACACACACACACACAATATTAGCACAAAATGTTTAAATTATCCATAAAATGTTAAAATAAAATGTTAGCAGGTGGATGAAAAATGATAAAATTGGTTAAATTACAGCACTAAACTCAACACAATAACGGGAGGTAATAATGGAGCCGTTCTTACACAGATCAGCATCGCGTTCAGTCCTTGTATTTCGTGTTTAAAAACTGTATATAATAAATGTTCTATAAATGGAGATCTGGCAAAACCTAACCTAACCAAACCAAACCATAAAAGAATATAGTGGTCAAGCTAAGCAAGATATAGGTTAGGTTAGTCTTATCCTATAAACTCTTTCCCTATAATGGACTGAAGAGCGATACTGATCTTCATAATTACCCAAATTAGAAATATCCCAGGAAATAATATATACAATACAGGAAAACTAAGATGAAATGGAAAAAAAAATAAAACTGCTTGGATAGCGAAGTTCATGCTAAATCAGGGAGCTCACAGAAAACTGTACTACAGGATAAACTACATTAAATGAAAATAAACTAAGCAAATATATACAGTGAAATCCTCTATTTAGCGGATTATATGAAGAAGAAAGTCCGTTATATCGAGGGTTTGTAAAATGTGAAACCTACATATAATGAACTATATGGAGAGAAGTCAATTATATAAATAATTATATATACAACAACAGTCAAGACGTGAAATTAGACAGACAGACAGAATATGTGAACTATACCACATACACACACCATACAGACAGATAGACAGACAAGAAGAGAACATATCACACAGCAAGACCCATACTTAACAGACATGCAAGAAGACTAAGCACAGACATACCACAGACAGACAGACAGGCAGACAGACTTACGTGGTTTGCAGGTACAGCCGTCGCAGGTAAAACCAAATGGACAGTCTTCGTTGGCGTGACAGGTACACTCTGGACCACCCGGGAACAGTCATAGTTAGTAAGTGTCTCCTTACTCTACACCTGTCCATTTCTATACCTGTCTAAATTATTCTTATACCTGTCTAATTATTTCCATACCTGTCTAATTAACTTTCTATTCCCATATCTGTCTAATTAACTGTCTATTTCTATACCTGTCTAGCTGTCATTATTATCATTATCAATTTTATATCCTTTTATCTGCCTTATCAATTATTACCATTATCTATCTATCTATCTATCTATCTATCGAAAATCTTGAATAGAAACTATATTAAACTGTAAATAAAGAGACATTGTATTTTAAGCTTAACAACAACAAAATAATAATAATAATAATAATAATAATAATAATAATAATAATCCTGCCTACTTAAACTTAGCTCACAGGGAATGTATTAACTTAGACACATAACACTTCATTAACTTTTAAATCCACAAGGAACAAACCTAACCTAACCAGACCTAAGCTAAGCTAACCTAACCTAACCTAACCTAACCTAACCTAACCTAACCAGACCTAAGCTAACCTAACCTAAGCCTAAAAATTTTAACATGTAAGATAATACTCACCCCATAATGACCTATTACACCTGTGAATTTAATTAAAAGGTGTGGCACGCTATGTTCACCTGTATGGCACCTATGTTCACCTGTATGGCACTCTATGTTCACCTGTGTGGCACTCTATGTTCACCTGTATGGCACCTACTATGGCACTCTATGTTCACCTCTATGTACCTGTACTATGGCACTCTATGTTCACCTGTATGGCACCTACTATGGCACTCTATGTTCACCTGTATGGCACTCTATGTTCACCTGTATGGCACTCTATGTTCACCTGTATGGCACCTACTATGGCACTCTATGTTCACCTGTGTGGCACCTACTGCGTGTTGATTAAGCTCTGTTTAACTCTACATTTAGCTTTGTGTTGCTGACTGTAAACTGATTCTCTTACTCTACTTTAGCGGGTCTCTGTACTAGTGAGCGAGGGCACAGTATGTGTGTGTGTGTTCTCTCATGTCAAGTGGCAGTGTTACTACTCGAGGTCCTCACTTGAGCCTCACCACTATCATGCTTCTATAGGCTTATAAAAATAATAACACTCTTGATTATAGTGTGTACATGACTGTCCTTCTCTGGTCTGTGTGCATCTTTGATACTGTGTAAACTCTGGTACAAACTTGATCCTGATGGTGACTGGTTTGAATACAGTCAACAGTTAACACATGTGATGGCTCTTGTACTGAAGATTGTTGTGCTAAAATTATTCAGAAGATGAAAAGTGTGTGTTTGTTGTCTACTTAAACCGATAGTGTTGAGTGTTGCTGTACACACTACCTGGACTATACGAGGCATAACATGTAATATACTTAGAGTACACAGCGAGTGAGTGATATTAATACACGTTAGAGGACATGCTAGTGAGGTAAAGCGAGAACAAGATCAGTAGCGGCAGGTAGACATCTCCTACAGTCAATACAGGTGTATAGTCCAGGTCAGGAGGACACAGTCTAGTACAGTACAATAGTCTCACATGGGCCCGGTTGGGAAGGTTACCTGTGGGGTGGAGGGAGACACAACCCACGGGAGGCTGTGGAAACAACGCTATGGGGAGAGAATAGGGAAGGGGAGGGAAAACTTCATCCTGGGGGAGTTACCTGCAGGGAGTACTGGGAAGCACTTAATGATGGGGTCGCCAGTGTATCCTGAGGGGCAGGAGCACCTGGGGACGTGTTCCACTGCCCTACACTCGGCGTCCAGGCCACACGCCTCCGTCATCTGACAGGGGTCCATGCAGTGGGTGGTGAAGCAGGCCTCGTCGTGCGGGCAGTCTGCGTCAGCCCGGCACCCGGCGTCTGTCAGGCACAAACTCCAGCTCATAACCTCGTCATTCTCTAAACCCAGATACTGTACGCCCTTCCCCTGGAGGTCTTAACCATGGAGGGGCTTTGAAAATCCCTTTCTCTTGTACAGGCCTTTGTGTCGGGTCTTAGTGATAGGTCTTCATGGTCTGTCAGCGATCAGTCTTAGTAGAAATATATTGTGTTTGTATGTAACTGAGCTGTAGACGAGTGATGGGTCTGTAGGTGATGTTGTATCTGTGACTAGTGGTGAATGACACACGCATCTGAGTGATGTATGACTGGTGGCACCTGAGTGATGATTTTTAATTCAAGTCTGATGGGTGTGAGTGGTGTGCTTTGCTGTTGTCCCTGAATTCTGGTTCAGTCTGGTGTTTCTGAGTGGTTTGTGTAAGTGGTGAGTGAGTGACGTCTGAGTGGCACGTCACAGTACAACTACAGTATGTCCGGCACAGTCTAAGTGGTTATGAGAGAGTGAATGACAGTGGACGAAACCTCGACAGTAGTTTCGATTCGTTCCATCTCAGTTTCATCCATTTTCCTCACTACTTAAGTCATTACAGATACATTAAACCCCCCAAGAGGTCTTCCAACAACCAGACTCCGCTAACGAAACTACGCGATTCGACAAAAAATCTTAATAAACAGATGAAACACCCAAATGGTTCGGTGGTTCGAATCTACAGTCGAGGCTTCTTGTGGGGTGGTTCACACACATCTCTCACAGTCAGTCAATCAGATATTAATAACAATATTACAATTACTGTGGCTGTATTAATGCTACCAGTTACATCTATGACAACTATCATTAGGGCAGTTAATGTACAAGCTCGCTGGTAAGTCATGAGAGCACAGCCCGGGTCTCCAGAGGTTCCTAGACTGGACTCCTTCAACCTCATATGGGAGATGACAGAACACACCCACCTGGCTCACTCAAGCTACGATACACCGTGCACCAGGCAGTCAGTATCCCATTCTATCCTGTCTTGACAACACATAATTAATATATATTTTATTCAGTAAAATCGACATACAAGATCACGTTGGTTCAGCCTGTACACAGAGAGAGTCCAGGTGTACAAACAATGGTCAATAGTAAGTCGATTTAACCAACACAACTCAAGAAGGCTGCCCAAACGCCTGTCTTCAATTCTTTCAAAAGCCATCGGGTAAAATGGCGCAGGAAATAGGATTGAGACTATACCGTGATGCAGGTGGATGTGTTCTCTCATTCTCAGGTGAGGGAGAAGGTGACCACCCTGAGAACCTTCCAGTACCCGGGGCCTGGGTAGTGTGAGGCGAGATATGGTACATCAGCAAGGTGGTGAGGTTGGCTCTGGCAGCGTTAACACTTGGTATTATGCATCACAGCTCAAGTGCATCGTCAGCCAGGGAAGAACATATTAATTTATTCTGATATGTTGGGTATATCGCTATACACAACATATCAGGGCAGTATGTTGTGAGCACAGGACTCTACACAACATATCAGGGCAGTATGTTGTGAGCACAGGATTCTACACAACATATCAGGGCAGTATGTTGTGAGCACAGAACTCTACACAACATATCAGGGCAGTATGTTGTGAGCACAGAACTCTACACAACATATCAGGGCAGTATGTTGTGGGCACAGAACTCTACACAACATATCAGGGCAGTATGTTGTGAGCACAGAACTCTACACAACAACAGCAGGAAGGGCAAGGCATAACTATTAATACGTCAGGAAGAAGTCTGGTGGGGGGGGGGGTAGTCTGGTCAGCTGAGGGGAGAGGGAAGGGTGAGAGGGAGAGGTGAGGGGAGAGGGAAGGGTGAGAGGGCACAGGTAAGGAAACCACGAGGGGCGGTGATCAGAGGGCCGAGGTAACCGCCCTTCGTGACTTTGAATGGGTCTTGGTTAGGTTAGGGTTTGGCAGGTAGGGGAGAGGGAACAAGACGAAGAGGAAGGAGAGGAAGAGATAAAGTGAAGTGAGAATAGGAGGACCAGAAACATGACGAACAAAGAGGAGGAGAGGGGATGGGGTGAACGGTGTGTGGGGGACGGTCGTTAGGGGAGGGGGCGGTCGTTAGGGAGGGGGCGGTCGTTAGGGGTGAGAGGGGCGGTCATTAGAGGGGCGGGGGGCGGTACAATATTCAGTCGAACACTTTGTTATTCTCGTTATTAGACAAATGATGCTGTTATTATTATTATTATTAGTTCTTGCTTTGCCTTAATTATTACTGATTATGTCCTAAATATTACGCGAAACAAAACAGGGGTGTGAGATGGAGGGGAAGGGGGTGAGTTGTTGTGGGAGTAGTAGGGTGGGGGCGCGCAAATGAAGTGGCGGATAGTTAGCGTCAAATGGGTTGAGGGGAGGGGGGAGGGCAGCGTCAAGACTCGTTCAACACAATACCTGAGATGCAGAAGGGGATGTGATCGCGAACTTCACATCTCTCGGACGTCTCACAGGGGTTCCTCAGTTGGCAAGGGGATAGACACTCCTTGTTGTAGCAGGCGGTACTACTGGGGCAGTCGGTGTTACTGCGACACCCGACTACACCAGGTGGACGGAGAGGGGGGCAGGGAAGGAGGGAGCTAATTAGACACGTTGGGAGAGGAGTTACTGGGATCGAAGTGCTACAGAGGTCATGGAGGGGTACTGCAGAGGGTCATGGAGGGTACTGCAGAGGGGTCATGGAGGGTACTGCAGAGGGGTCAGAGGGGTCATGGAGGGGGGGTACTGCAAAGGGGTCATGGGGGAGTACTGGAGCAAAAGCTTAAAGGAAGGAGTTTCAGTTTCAGCTAAGATGTATACTGTAGGTCTCAGCTAAGGTGGACAATCTTAGCTGAGGGGAATATAGCTTTAAGATACGGTGCTCAGGCTTCAACTACAAGATATAGCTTCAAGTAAGATAACGCAGCTAAATAAGGAAGAGGAAATGACAAAATAGGATAAATACTAGAGGAAATAGTTGATAATAATCTTTGCAAAGAGAGAAAAGGGGAAACAAGAATTACAACAGAACAATATTTACTTCTACACAGTACTTCCTCAAATTTTACTCTGAGACACACACACGGGGGAAGCAATCAAACACTTTTACAGAGGAAAGTGCCAGGCTACTGTCCTTCATATAAAGAATATGATAAGATTTATGTACAAAGGAAAGTAAAGCAACACTTTCTTTAGCACGGGAAAGTAAATAACGATTTCCTCATAAATAAGAAAGTAATGAGAGCAGCCCTGGAATACAAATATAGATTATCATTATCAAACGCCGTCCATCGTAGAGGAAAGTGATCAAACACTTCCCCCGCTACACAGGACAGTGACGAGAGGGTGTGGACACTGTCGGGGTACTCACCAGCAAGACAGGTGGCTTTTTGGTTCTGCACCTTACAGTCCTCCTTGGCACTACAGGGGTTGCGGGCCACACACGGGTTGAGGCACTTCTCATTGATACAAGCCTGGCTGGTGGGGCACTCAGAGTCATCCCGACATCCTACGGCTATATGACCACATGGGATAAGGTCACCAAAGGTCACCAGCGCCAGGATGGATCACAAGGTTGGAGATGAGATGCAACACAGGTTCCAGGTCACACGGAGAGAGATGAAGGAGAGGAAAAAATGTTTTATAAAAGAACTTTAGCGACAGAATGGAGGTTACGGGCTGGTGACGGCGGGGGACTCATTAACGTCTAATAACTGAGAGACAATTACCATGAAAATAAACTACTTGAAGTTGACCTTTAATAACAAACGTCACCACCAACGACACCTGAACCGGAACCATCCAAGTATTGAGTATACCAAATGCTTAGCAAACTAGTACCTAGAGTATACTAGTAACTAGCTGTCCTCTCACTAGCATACTCAAACTATATATCATGATATATCTCACTTGACAAGAATAGAGAACATTTTCCAAGGATATTGTTGGTGCTTAAAACAATGATCTCCTTGACTCTTGTGTGTGGGAGCTGAGGGGATGTGCACTGCATCTGTTGGTGTGTGAGGGGGAGGTGTGTGAGGGGGGAGGTGTGTGAGGGGGAGGTGTGTGAGGGGGGAGGTGTGTGGGGAGGTGTGTGAGGGGGGTGTGTGAGGGGGTGTGTGAGGGGAGGGTGTGTGAGGGGAGGTGTGTAGGGGGAGGTGTGTGGAGGGGAGGTGTGTGAGGGGAGGTGTGTGGAGGTGTGTAGGGGAGGTGTGTGAGGAGGTGTGTGAGGGGGGAGGTGTGTGAGGGGGAGGTGTGTGAGGGGGGAGGTGTGTGAGGGGGTAAGTGTGTGAGGGGGGAAGTGTGTGAGGGGGGAAATGTGTGAGGGGTAAACCTAATTAAACACATAATGACGAAAACAGTGATGTGTGAACTGTTCATTACGTTAAAGTGAACAGGTGAATGTTAACGTATTGATACAGGTGAACAATCTCAAGTTCACCTGAATAACACGTAAACGTTTCAGTTCACCAGCACAGTTCATCAGCTAAATCTACATAAGTCACTTCACTATTATCTAAGGAAAATAAGTCATGGAATCTGGCACCATCCAATCTATCAATCAGTTATTAAATGTTATCATAGGGAGGAAGTTCTTGTTCAGTAAGTATATTGTTATAGTTTAGTGGTGGTGATATTGGCGGTGTTGGTGATGGTGCAACATGGTATAGTATAAGTATGTTTGAGTTGCCTAAAACAACACATTAATTAGTTTTCCCTGTGAACAAAAAACAAAATAAAGCACAAACAAAAACAAATTACAAACATCATAAACAAACACAGGCATACAAACAAATCAAGGCATGCGTGGGGTAAAGGGGGGGGGGGCAGGCACAGACCCATGCACCACCACACCACAGTGCACAGAGGTCAGGTCAACCAAGAGATCAACTTGAGGCAGGTGAACCCAGGAGGTCAACTTGAGGCAGGGTAGGGGAGAGTCATTATGATAAAGCCTCTTGGTAAGCCTCCATTATGGTAAACCTCCTGAAGTAAGCCTCGCGGTGGGTTAGCTACGTCATCAACAAGCATTACAACAAATTAATAGTACAAAAGATACAAACACACGGATCAGTAGTACTACCGCAGGCTCGTTCAACTGGTTAGCAAAGACAACAACAATAACAAAACAAAAACATCAACACAAACACTACAAATAATACGTTCCAAACAAAAGCTTTTTTTTTTTAATGCTCTTTTCGCCTTGGTGAAGCAGACTCCATGCTTCATTGGGTTAATAAAGCTGGTACATGAAGCAGTGGGTGAGTGAAGCACACAAGGTTATGGAAGCAGGTGATGTCACAGTAGAAGCAGCAATACAGACACATTCTGATCTTTCTTCAGGGTTTTAGTAGCAGGTCCCCACTTGGTCCGTGGCCAAAAGAATACGGTGTTAAAGAACATGGTTTGTTGAAGGCAACGTCACGGTGAAGCAGGTACAGACAGACAGACAGACAGACAAATAAGACAGACACGGAAGACGGGGGCGGGCAGACAGACAGGACGACACAAGTTGACGTCGTTCATTCACACAGACAAAACACAACAAACAGGTTTGTGTTTATGGAGGGAACTGTAGGGAAGTTACGCCGTTGTTGGAGGAATTTGGAGAGGGGGAGGGGAAGGGGGGGATGGAGGGAGGGAGGGACAGGAGGAAGTCAACAGTGGCGGACCTCCACCACAAACGCCCCCGTCAGGGAGGTTGGCCCACCTCCTGAAGGTTCAAATTCTCAAAGGTTCCTACGTTTAACTTTCCATGAATCAGAGACGTGAGAACAACAAATCGTTTCTCTTATTAATAAATATGTAGTGTTATAAGGTATCCATACAAGACCTTTCATATAACTTGACTGAGTTAGAGCAAAAAGTTGGCGGAGAAGCCCGTACTGTCACCCAATCATATCTAAAAGTGATTACCTTATCCCCACCTGCGAGAAAAATAATGCACGCATAAACCTTTGAGAATTCTTTCCAGGTTGGCTACAGTAACTGGGTCTTATGCACGAGGTGGCGTGGCTCAGCTGAGGTCCGCCACGGTCTTGCAGAAACCATCTTCCATTGGACAATCACTTAACATATAAAAAAGATTTCCGAAAGCTCCAAGAGGGAGGGAGGGGCAAGAGCGCTCAAATTCTTAATCAACCACTTGAGCAGCCGTCATAACCTGGGTCATAAAATACAAGACGAGTATTAGAGAGATACTGTCTCTCCGTGACTGCTCAAGACATGCTTAAGAATTCGGCTTGATGAGGCCAGGCCAGCCAGCCAAGCCTGCCTGACCAACCAAGCGGCATCAAAGCTTCAAAATACAGTAAACGGGAGGAGGAGGAGTTTGGGACACATTATATTACCTTGGGGACACCGGGAGCCAAGGACTGGCCCCGTGGGACACTGACACGTTAATCTGTTACTCATCACCTGACACACGAACCCACTACCACAGGGGCTCGATACCTTGCACGGGTCTACACAACGTTTCCGCTGACAGGCTAAGTGCCTGGGGCACTCCACGCTGCTCGTGCACGTCTTGTCCGGTAACAAGGTTTTAGGCACAGAGGGGCTGGGGGTCGTGGTTGGGGGGTGAGGATGATGGGTAGGAGTGACCGGTTGTATTGGTGGGGTAACTGGTCTAGCAGGCGTCACTGGTCTTGTAGGCGTGATTGGTCTAATATGTGTCACTGGTCTGGTTGGAGAGGGATCTGTAGAGGGTCTAGTTTCAGTGTAAGGTTTGGTAGTGTAGCGGAAGGGAGGTTTCTCAGAGGAGGGTCTCGGGATTGGTGGGGGAGGTGTCTGAGGGGTTATGGCCTCAGTGGGTGGCTGAGGTGGTGGTGGGGTGTGAGATGTTTCTGTGGTGAAGGGGTGGAGTTTGGGTGTGGTGTGGGGAGGTGTAATCTTAGGTCTAGCTGTGGTGAAAGGACGTGGTGTTGGTGTGGTCGTCCTCCGTGGTAAAGTCACTGGCGGTAGTGTGGTGGTCAGTGCTAGGGTCACAGGTGGTGCAGGTGAGGTAAACAGAGGTCGTCTGGGTGTCGTAGGCGGAGAAGTGGTCGGTGTGGGTTGTCTGGTGGTTGACACTGGACCACCAGGATATACTGGTGTCACTGGTGATGGAGACTGTGGTGTTTCTGGGGTAGTTAGGGGTCGTTTAATGATAATCTTAACAGGTTGTTTAGTGGTGGAGGAGACCTTAGGTGGGCTTGTGGATGAGGAGTGAGGTGTTGGGGTGGTGATGTGCAAGGCTGGGGTCAGAGGCTGTGGTGGTGGGGTGGTGAAGAAGCCCTCGGTTTTGGTAGGTACTTTAGGTCTTAGGGTCTTGCCGAGGTCCCTGGGAGGTGTGGTAGTGGGTTGTAAAGTTTTATTGACACAGTTAATCTTAATCTGGCCCTGAGAGCCTCGTGAGACAGTACAGTCTGGTGTCCCACAGGCGTCCTGACAGGGGTTTGTGCAGTGTCCCTGGAGACACGTATGTTTGGGTGTGACGCAGTCAGCGTCACTGCGACACGGCGTCCTGGTGGTGGTGGGGGTGGTGGAGGGGGTGGTAGTATCGATGTCTGTGGACACATGCAAAATATGGAAATGTGAATATAAAAAGGTCAATATGAAGGGTTATCAATGTTGCATGTTCTCAGCTGACAACAGTAAACAGTGAAGAGCTAAGGTCAGGAGGTCTGTCCTTGTCGTAACTCTACGTCTTTGTGAGGTATTTTGTATCTTTCATTAATGTTCATTATGTGCATCAAGAAGTAATGATCCAACTTTCAGTGTGAGATATGAGTTAACTGGTAAATGAACATTTGCTTCATTAATTCAAACTGTATATTAGCAACAAACAACGTGAGTGAGTGTATCATATATTAGTCTACTCCTGAGACGTTCGGCAGAAATAAATTCTCACTCAGATGGACAACTGATCATCTGATCAGTGACGTATGATATACCCACTGATTGGCCAAGAGGCGGCCAAGGAGAGGGCAGGTGTGACGTCACTGAGCGGGTGACGGAAGGTCCAGGGGAGAGAGGAACCGTCCGGCCGAAGGTCCCGCGTCGGAGGTTAGTCGAGGTGGCTCACTACCACAACACTACGAGCCACTCGTGTCCACCACCTGAGGCTCAGTCGGGTTAATATACAAGTAGCAGCAGGGGCCGCGGCCACCCGGCGCCAGGGTTTACCTTTCACACAGCCAAAGTTGGGATCGACAGTAAAGCCTGGCGGGCAGAATTTACACAGTGGCTTGTGGTCCTCCACGTAGCAGGGCGTTTCCCCGGGGCACCCATGAGAGGCGCACGGGTCCACGCACTGGTAGGACACGCACGCCTCTGTGGGCGCGCATCCTTCGTCCCTGAGGCAGATGGTGACAGAGGCCGTGCAGTCCTTGAGACAGACGCAGATGGGGCGGTGGTTGAGCACTTCACACTGCTTGTTAGACGGGCACAGGCGGCCGTTGAGGCAGGGGTTGGTGCACCTGTTGCTGACACACGCCAGGTTGGGGGCACAGTCGTCGTCCTCCCGGCAGTCTATGGGTCCTGTCGCACACACAAACTCTCCCACTGAGTTTATTACAAAGCCGTGCTTGCATATACAGGTGGCTTTGTGCTTCCTGACTTCACACACTTTATTAGGTTCGCAAACTGAGGGCTCGCGACCACAGGGGTCGTAGCAGGTGCCGCTAACGGCGTCGCACGCCCGACGCTCGTCGCAGTCACCGTCCTTCCGACACCCATTCACAAGGGGCGGCTCAAGGGGCGGCCGTTGGGTGATGACACAGGCGGGGTCTGGTCGACAGGCCACCTACCATTCGGCCGTTACCACACTACATACTCTAGTGTAGACCAACCATACTCGTGTCATCATACATCACCGGCACATGTACACCATACTATCTCTCATGTTACACACCAACCATACTTACATGTATACCAACCATACTTACATGTATACCATACCATACTTTACACCATACTACCAACCATACTTACATGTATACCAACCATACATACATGTATACCAACCATACTTACATGTATACCAACCATACTTACACATATACCAACCATACTTACATGTATACCAACCATACTTTGTATACACATATACATGTATACCAACCATACTTACATGTATACCAACCATACTTACATGTATACTAACCATACTTACACAACCATACTTACATGTATACCAACCATACTTACATGTATACCAACCATACTTACATGTATACCAACCATACTTACACATATACCATACTTACATGTATACCAACCATACTTACATGTATACCATACTTACATGTATACCAACCATACTTACATTATACCATGCATACTAACCATACTTACATGTATACCAACCATACTTACATGTATACCAACCATACTTACATGTATACCAACCATACTTACATGTATACCAACCATACTTACATGTATACATACCATGTATACCAACCATACTTACATGTATACCAACCATACTTACATGTATACCATAACCATACTTACATGTATACCAACCATACTCACATGTATACCAACCATACTTACATGTATACCAACCATACTTACATGTATACCAACCATACTTACATGTATACCAACCATACTTACATGTATACCAACCATATACCAACCATACTTACATGTATACCAACCATACTTACATGTATACAACCATACTTACATGTATACCAACCATACTTACATGTATACCAACCATACTTACATGTATACCAACCATACTTACATGTATACCAACCATACTTACATGTATACCAACTATACTTACATGCATACTAACCATACTTACATGTATACCAACCATACTTACATGTATACCAACCATACTTACACATATACCAACCATACTTACATGTATACCAACCATACTTACATGTATACCAACCATACTTACATGTATACCAACCATACTTACACATATACCAACCATACTTACATGTATACCAACCATACTTACATGTATACCAACCATACTTACATGTATACCAACCATATTTACACATATACCAACCACACTTGCATGTATGCCAACCACACTTGCATGTATGCCAACCACACTTGCATGTATGCCAACCACACTTGCATGTATGCCAACCACACTTGCATGTATGCCAACCATACTTACATGTATACCAACCATACTTACATGTTTACCAACCATACTCGCATGTGTCAGCCATACCTATGCTAACCATACAAGTACCTATATGTATGCTAAGTATACCTACATGTATAGCAATACTGTACAGTATAAGACACGTCAGCTGAAGGACTGTACCTGGACCAGTCGTGTAGGTATAGCGAGACTCACATGGGCACGACCACCATCAGAGTTAAAGACAAAAGCAAGTAAGCTGTTTGTTTGTTACTGTTACACCTGCGGTACTTCACACCTGTTATGTTATAGTTGTTACCACTCACACCTGTTCCGCCATACAAGTGTCCTGTAACACGTGTAACTTAACATCACACCTGTGTTACTTCACACCTGTTACAGCACAATTGTATTGCATAGCATTCGTTACATCACACCTGTTACAGCACATTATGGGTCGTTACATAATTAATACGGGAATCTCACCCCTACAATAACAGTGCACACACACACACACACACACACACGCACACACGCACACACACACACCTACGCCTCGTGCACCAATATAAAGAACATGCTTCCGTTAGCAGTTATTGGGGGGAGAGGGGGGTGTGTACAGTACAGTGTGGGGGGCAGAGGGGGGGCAGGGGACATGTTACAGCGACAAATAACAGGTAATACAGGTGTTAGGACATATAACAGGGGTCTAATGACACTGACAGGATATGGGGGTAGGACACGGGTATAAGGACATAGGCAGGTATAAGTTATCACGTTAGGACATACATATTAGGACACAAGAATAAAAAAGATGTAGAAAATAATGATAAAATAATAAGAAGGAAATGTAGATGAGACGAGAATTAGTTATAACAGGTGTTTAAGATGTGGTGCTAATTATAACAGGTGTTTAAGATGTGGTGCTAATTATAACAGGTGTTTAAGATGTGGTGCTAATTATAACAGGTGTTTAAGATGTGGTGCTAATTAGTTATAACAGGTGTTTAAGATGTGGTGCTAATTATAACAGGTGTTTAAGATGTGGTGCTAATTAGTAATAACAGGTGTTTAAGATGTGGTGCTAATTAGTAATAACAGGTGTTTAAGTTGTGGTGCTAATTAGTTATAACAGGTGTTTAAGATGTGGTGCTAATTAGTTATAACAGGTGTTTAAGATGTGGTGCTAATTAGTTATAACAGGTGTTTAAGGTGTGGTGCTAATTAGTTATAACAGGTGTTTAAGATGTGGTGCTAATTAGTTATAACAGGTGTTTAAGATGTGGTGCTAATTAGTAATAACAGGTGTTTAAGATGTGGTGCTAATTAGTTATAACAGGTGTTTAAGATGTGTTTAAGATGTGGTGCTAATTAGTTATAACAGGTGTTTAAGATGTGGTGCTAATTAGTTATAACAGGTGTTTAAGATGTGGTGCTAATTAGTTATAACAGGTGTTTAAGATGTGGTGCTAATTAGTTATAACAGGTGTTTAAGATGTGTGCTAATTAGTAATAACAGGTGTTTAAGATGTGGTGCTAATTATAACAGGTGTTTAAGATGTGGTGCTAATTATAACAGGTGTTTAAGATGGTGCTAATTAGTGCTAATTATAACAGGTGTTTAAGATGTGGTGCAGGTGTTTAAGATGTGGTGCTAATTAAACAGGTGTTTAAGATGTGGTGCTAATTATAACAGGTGTTTAATGATGTGGTGCTAATTATAACAGGTGTTTAATAACAGGTGATGTGGTGCTAATTAGTTAACAGGTGTTTAAGTGCTAATTAGTTATAACAGGTGTTTAAGATGTGGTGCTAATTAGTTATAACAGGTGTTTAAGATGTGGTGCTAATTAGGTGTTTAAGATGTGGTGCTAATTAGTTATAACAGGTGTTTAAGATGTGGTGCTAATTAGTAATAACAGGTGTTTAAGATGTGGTGCTAATTAGTTATAACAGGTGTTTAAGATGTGGTGCTAATTAGTTATAACAGGTGTTTAAGATGTGGTGCTAATTAGTTATAACAGGTGTTTAAGATGTGGTGCTAATTAGTTATAACAGGTGTTTAAGATGTGGTGCTAATTAGTTATAACAGGTGTTTAAGATGTGGTGCTAATTAGTAATAACAGGTGTTTAAGATGTGGTGCTAATTAGTTATAACAGGTGTTTAAGATGTGGTGCTAATTAGTAATAACAGGTGTTTAAGATGTGGTGCTAATTAGTTATAACAGGTGTTTAAGATGTGGTGCTAATTAGTTATAACAGGTGTTTAAGATGTGGTGCTAATTAGTTATAATAGGTGTTTAAGATGTGGTGCTAATTAAAGTTATAACAGGTGTTTAAGATGTGGTGATAATTAAAGTTATAACAGGTGTTTAAGATGTGGTGCTAATTAGTTATAACAGGTGTTTAAGAAGTGGTGCTAATTAGAGCTATAACAGGTGTTTAAGATGTGGTGCTAATTAATTATAACAGGTGTTTAAGATGTGGTGCTAATTATAACAGGTGTTTAAGATGTGGTGCTAATTAGTTATAACAGGTGTTTAAGATGTGGTGCTAATTAGTTATAACAGGTGTTTAAGAAGTGGTGCTAATTAGAGCTATAACAGAATAAGATGGTGGTGTGGTGCTAATTAGTTATAACAGGTGTTTAAGATGTGGTGCTAATTATAACAGGTGTTTAAGATGTGGTGCTAATTAGTTATAACAGGTGTTTAAGATGTGGTGCTAATTAGTTATAACAGGTGTTTAAGAAGTGGTGCTAATTAGAGCTATAACAGGTGTTTAGGATATGGTGCTAATTAGTTATAACAGGTGTTAAAGATGTGGTGCTAATTAGTTATAACAGGTGTTTAAGATGTGGTGCTAATTAGTTGTAACAGGTGTTTACGATGTGGTGCTAATTAGTTATAACAGGTGTTTAAGATGTGGTGCTAATTATAACAGGTGTTTAAGATGTGGTGCTAATTAGTTATAACAGGTGTTTAAGATGTGGTGCTAATTAGTTATAACAGGTGTTTAAGTTGTGGTGCTGATTATAACAGGTGTTTAAGATGTGATGCTAATGAGTTATAACAGGTGTTTAAGATGTGGTGCTAATTATAACAGGTGTTTAAGATGTGGTGCTAATTAGTTATAACAGGTGTTTAAGATGTGGTGCTAATTAGTTATAACAGGTGTTTAAGATGTGGTGATAATTAGAGTTATAACAGGTGTTCAAGATGTGGTGCTAATTAGTTATAACAGGTGTTTAAGATGTAGTGCTAATTAGTTATAACAGGTGTTTAAGATGTGGTGATAATTAGAGTTATAACAGGTGTTTAGGATGTGGTGCTAATTAGTTATAACAGGTGTTTAGGATGTGGTGCTAATTAGTTATAACAGGTGTTTAAGATGTGGTGCTAATTAGTTATAACAGGTGTTTAAGATGTGGTGATAATTAGTTATAACAGGTGTTTAGGATGTGGTGCTAATTAGTTATAACAGGTGTTTAGGATGTGGTGCTAATTAGTTATAACAGGTGTTTAAGACGTGGTGCTAATTAGTTATAACAGGTGTTTAAGACGTGGAAGTGAACGATAAATGATTAAGGCAGGTGTTCGTTACGTGTTATTCGACGATTTGGGCGATAGGACAGATGTTCATAACGTTTTAGTGGACAATAGTTATAACAGATGATTCTTATGTGTTAGTTGACGAGTTAGAACAGGTGTTTTTTGTACCAGAGGACAATAAGTGGTTACAACAGGTGTGTTGATACGTGCTATAGTGTGTGAAACGTGCACGTGGACGACAGGTGCTCAAAGACGTGAGTGAACGAGAGACAGTTGCTACAGGTGTTCGTTAAGTGGATGAGAACGAACAGACAGTTAATATACAGATGTTTTGGAGGTATGGACGGGTAGACAAAGACAGTTAAAGACAGACAGGTTGCTCGGTGACATGGACAATAGACAGTTAAAAAAAAAAACAGATGTTGAGAGATAACTAACTGCTAAGGCTGGCCGGGGAGAAGGAAACAGTTAACATGTTTTATGAGTGGCAATTATCTGTGTCTTGACTGCCCTCCGGTTGAACTGTCAAAGGTCAACTCGTACACCTTGATGTCTACTTAATAAGACTCGGAGTGTGAAATCAGGAGCACGAAGAAAAAATGGGAATTTGGATGAAAAACAGGAATGCAAAATACAGAAAATTGGAATTGGATGAAAATGGGAATGCAAAATATAGAAAATGGGAATTGGATGAAAAACAGAAATACATAATACAGAAAATTGGGAATTGGATGAAAAACAGGAATACATAATACAGAAAATGGGAATCGGGAGAAAATAGGGTAAATAAGAGAGAAGATGGAAATAGGAACATAATATAAGAGAATGGGGGAACTGGGAGGGAGAAGGAGGGACGGAGGGAGGGAGATAACCAACCCATAATACAAAGAGAATTGGCAATGGGGAGAATAATGGGGAGACGACGGAATACAATAATTTGGAAAAAATGGGGAAATGACAAATCGTGACACATTCAGCAATATAAACCTGAGATAGAGAAATGTTCGTTCATCCGGGTACTAAATATGTGACGTCACTCATGTAAACAAACTATTTTAACCCATTCACAGTGCGGTAAAAACAGTGACGTCACGGATGTAAACACGGGATCTTGTAGCCAGAGGAAGATTAAGAGTTATCCTCCTCCTCGGATTAAACTAACACTCCCCATTCCTGTATAAGTCCTATTTTGTCTTGCATAATAAACAAAACAGGTCAGCAGTTCATATATACTGAACATGCCACTGTACTGTACTCAAGGGAAAATCAAGTCAGACAATGGACACAGTTATCAAATAGATATGAAAAAATGATGGAACTCTACAGTACAGTTATCGCACTACAATACATCTGCTTTTGAAAAACATCGAAGTATTTAAGAACATCGGTGAGACGGTACAGTGGACGGTACAGTGACAATGACTCTACAATATTTCAGTGAGAAAATATACTTCGATGTTTTTATAAGTCACAAATACTCTGGTTTGTTTTTTTAATGAGCCAATCAAAATCCCCGAAACTAGTTGACTCGTTTCCTAGTGGCCACTTCCCTGCAGGACACCGAGGTGACGAACACACTTGATACGTCTTGATAGTACAGTACTTAAATATCTTCAACATCCTCCTGGCTGGTGATAGTGTCCGTAGGTCCTGTTAACACTCACCAACACATAACAGGGACAAACCCTACGTGAGGACAAGACCCCCCCTAGCGCAGGAACATATGTTTGGGGTAATTTAAAGAAGAGAAAAACATAACTGGTGTTTAGGAGTGGAGTGGCCGCTATGAAGACGAGTAACTAAGCACCGTGATTCTCAAGGATGCGTTCTTCAATTTTTTCCCATGTAAAGTGTAAGAGATATTTTGGATAGTTCAAGTCCACGTTAAGTCCCCCATTACTTCATGGTAAGCTGCGTGTGTTCTCGTGGCCCCGGTTTGAAGTTAATATTAAATCACGCTTCTTGAGAGTCGGATGCCAGGTCTACCCATCAACCCCAACAACAATCTACGGTGCGATGAAGGAGGTCATGAACGGAGAGGAGGAGAGGGTCAAGCGAGACTTACCTGGCGCACACTCCACGTAGGGATCACCCGTCCAGCTGGAGTCTCGGCACCGACACTCGTAGCTGCCGTCGGACTCCCTGAGGCAAGACGCTGCCAACCCACAACCTGTCTCTCTGCAATCTCCTGTGCCTGATATCACGTGAATATTAAAGAGTTAATGCAAGTAAACTTTGTGAACAAAATGAAACAACAAGAATTATGTATTTCTTTAGTTATCTAGTTCAATAAGTATGTTATTTTATAGATAACTGTATTATGTGTGGAGACAAATTTGCCAGTGTATTAGAACCAGTGGACAAAGAGGTGTGGAAGGTTCAGATCATTGTTGGCCCTCAGTTACCCTCCACCTCAACCTGGCAGTGTTAGGTATAGGTTTACCAGGGCGATACTAATGGATATAAAAATAAAATAAAGAATAAGGGGAGGATCTCGCCCATAACACAAGAAATAAAGTGAACGATAGTGGGAGATGTTCTTACATTTATTACGTGGGTCGCCATTTGGAAGATGATCTGGGCAGTAGCACTCGCCCTCTGAGCCATTGGCGCGACACTTGGCGTTTTGGCCACACGAGACTCGCTTGCAGGGTTCGTCGAGCTGGTTAAAGGAACAGATGCAGCCAGTCTTGTTGTTGTAGCTGTGGCAACCAGGTTTGCAGACGCAGACGAAACTACCAACTGTGTTGATACAACGAGCATTGTTGGGACAAGGGTCTTTCAAACACTCGTCGATTTCTTTCTTGCACTCCAATTTAGGGTTACCGAAGTACGTGGGAGGACAGGAACACTCCACTTCGCGGTTCACGACGCGACAGCGGGCGTTTTTGCCACAGGTTCCCTCCAGACACGGGTTCTTGCACTCGAGGTTGATACAAACCTGTTCTTGTTCGCATTCAGAGTCACTGAGACACTCGTACTTTTCACAGCCGTCTTTGGGAACGCCATGGTAGCCACTAAGACAGAAGCAGAGTGGGCGGTGATCGGAGACGCGGCAGTAGGTGTTGTCACCACACGCTTTATCATTACAGGGGTCTTCACACTTGCCGTTGATGCAGCCTTGAGTGAGTGGACAGTCAGTGTTGGCTCGGCACCCTACGGCGCACACACCAGCTTGGCATAAAAAGCTTTGGGAGCAGTCCTGGTCTTGACCACACTGGGCGTAACAGTATCCATCACTGCAGGTCTCGCCACAGTTGCACTGATCAGAAGACTTACAAGCCTTCACACAGAAACCGCCTTTACAAGATGCCTGGAAACCGCACTCGCTATCAGAGAAACACTGTCGAGTTGGTGTAGTGCAAGCGGTTTGCGGGTTGCCCACGGTGTTGGCTGAGCAGCTACACTGTGCTTGATGGTTCACCACTTGACACTCGGCACATGTACCACAGCTTGTGGTTCCCTCACACGGGTCGCGACACTGGCGGTTGATGCAAGACTCATGAGATGGACAAGTGGATTCTGAACGACAACCAACAATACACAGGCGGCCTTCACAGATGTTGCCTATGCCACACTGAGTATCGGAGCTACAGATCTCCTTGCACACTCCACCCACGCACCGTTCATTGTTGAAACAGGCCTGGTCACTGGTACACAGTGGGCGGCAGGTGCCAGAGAAGCAGGTCATATCCGGAGGACAGTTCTGGTCATTGGTGCAGGAGGTTGGTGGAAGGCGACAGTTAACATAAGCGTCGCCGACCAGGTTGTCTGGGCAGGAACACTGAAGGCGGTGGCCCTTAACGAAGCAAAGAGCGTTACCTCCACACGCTGTCGGGGACGCACAAGGGTCGATGCATTTGTTGTTGACACATGCCTGGTCTGAGGGACACTCCACTTCAGAACGACAGCCGCTTGTGCATATGAGCTGGTTGCAGATTTCTCCCGAGCGACAATCGTCGTCACGGCGACAGGTGGGGCGACAGATGGAGCCGTCGCACTGCTCAGTGTCCAAACAATTTGACGTGGAGGAACAGATAGCCATACAGGTGCGAGAGCTACAAATAAAGCCTGAAGAACAATCAGAATTAATGTTACAAGTGATGGGTTTCCTAGAGCAAGCAACATTGGGGGTTGGGTTGGGAATGAAGCCAGTGGGACAAGCGCATTGGGCCCTGTGGTTGACTACGGAACAAATGGCGTTGGGGCCACACACGGCGGAGGAGCCACATGGATCGGTGCAGCGGTTGTTGAGGCAAGCTTGGCTAGCCGTGCAGTCCTCATTGGCACGACACCCGATCATACAGATGTTGTTAAGACAAATGTGGCCCAGGAAGCAGTCGTTGTCCAGGCGGCATGTCACTGCAAAGCAAACATGTAAAGGAAACTTCAGCTAAGTTCACATACAATGGGTACACATACTGTATACATTGATTAAGCTCACACTCATGATGCAAACATTGTCCATCAACACGATTTAAGCATCTCACTACGAGATCAACGTCTACAGCAAGTTTGAAATTTAATTTATATGAAAAAATAAGTAAAAGAAAATACTACATGTAACTCAATTCAATATCACACATATCACACATCTCTCAGTATTAAGAGCTGTATAACTATCTATCTCGTAATTATCTAACTTCAAACTACATATTTATCTATCTCAATACTGTATAACTATCAGTATATTTATATCGAACTTTCAGGAAAAAAACTACAAGTATCAACTCACACATGCAGGAGCCACTGATACACTTCTCGTTCTGGGCACAGGCACTGTCTCCCGTACAGGCAGCGCTGCAGACGCCGTTCTTACATAGGAAGCCAGCAGGACAGTCGTTGTTTCTCTGACAGGCTGTAGGGATCCTGTAGCACTCTGTGTCAGCTTTGCCAGTGAAGCCAGGAGGGCAGGAACACTCCCGCTTGTGGTTGACCATATTACAGATGGAGTTGAGGCCACAAGCCTGGTCTTGGTCACACAGGTTTGTGCACTGACCGCGCTCACACGCTTCTGTCAGTCCACACTCACTGTCGCTCTGGCACGGTGCTGAGTAGATCAGGATGATACCATTAGCGCAGAGAAACACACACACACACGCGTATTTTACTCTACACTCATACATGACAAAAATAAATTAAATCCACAAATGACTCAAGTAGTTATAACTTGACAATATAATCAGCAAATAATAAATGATGTACTTACGTCTACAGAGTCCTCCATCACAGATGGTGTTGGGTGGACACTCGGCGTTGAGGCGACAGGTGATCTCCTGAGGACGACACCCTGTCACCAAGTTGGTGGGGTCACCCTCATAGCCGCTGACGCAGGAACAGACGGCACGGTGATTGGCAGCCCTACACTCGGAATTGGGGCCACAGAGAGACCCCTTACACACATCCTTACATTTGGGTTCACCATTTTCTTCACCACAGAAAGCTGAAGACGGGCAGTCGGAGTCGACGAAGCAGTCAACAGGTGGTTTACAGCCTTCAGTGTACGCGTTGCCGACGGTGCTGGGAGGACAGAGACACTTATGTGAACCGCGGAAGTTGTAGCAGTTGGCACCTTCTCCACATGGCTCTTCAGCACAGAAGTCAATTGGTTGACACCCTTTGAGGGGGTCACCCTTGTAGCCCTCACGGCAGAAGCACACAGCCTTGTGAGCTTCCGAGATGCACACAGCGTTCTCAGCACACTGGTTGTTGACCCGGCACGCGACTGTGGGGTGAGAAACACTCGGTAACCTCTTATTGGCTTACTATACTCTAATAATGGCCAATTGTTTCACTCTGGCGTACACCGAGCTAACCATCGTCTTACTATACCGAATTAAACAACTAGAATGACTCAGCCTCTCACACGTAAAGTGTCATCTTCTGTACACGACAACACTGAGAGTATAAGTGAAGACCCTGAGGTCCGGCTCTGGAGTCCTCAAACACTTACCTTTACACATGTAGTTGTCGCACCGTTCGTCCTGGTCACAGTCGTCATCTCCTTCACACTCTATCTGGCGGCAGCCGACCCGCTCGTCAGTGGGGTTCCCGAAGTATCCCTGAAATACAACACAACTTGGTTAGATTCTTTGGTTAAATCAATTAATTACATTGTCATAATTATAGTAGTCTTTGTTTATATCACCAACAATAAAACACTATATTATAAGTCGGTGATCATTGTTTTTATGACTACGGACTATGTTTTATAGTCATGATTCAGTCTCACGTGAAGCGAGAAACACCAACTCACCCTTGGGCACTGACAAACAGGCTGGTGGTCGATGGGCACACACTCCGCCTCTCGGCCACATAACGTCAGCCCATTACACACATCCTTACACTCGGCCTGACCCACGCTGTTGGTGCGGCAGTGTTCGTTTGTGTTGCAGTCACCGTTCTGGCGGCACCTCACCTCCGGAACACAGATGTTGTTCTGACACACCTGTGAGGTAGACCCAGTGTATGTTAATAAGCTGTACAAAAATTAATTCACCTTAGAATATGAGTAAAGTTCTACACATAAATAAACTACAGGAAACTGCAGATCTTACCTGTTACTATAGTGCACTAATGTACACAAGGGACCCTAAGTTTAAATTTAAGACTGCACCATACATACACACACTCACAAAAAAAATATATAAAAATAAGTGAGGGACGTTACCTGTAGGTCAGGACAGTCAGTGGTGGCCTGGCAGGTGGGGATGCAGGTTTCATCGATGCACACCTGTCCTGAGAGACACTCACGGTTGCTTGTACACGACGCTGTGGGCGAGACACTCATAGTCAACCCTTATATAAAGTCATGAATCATATGTTTCTACCTCAACTAAAATCATTCTTTACCCAAGCAAAACAAACCCGTCCCAACCCTAACCTAACCTAACCAAACCCGTCCCAACCCTAACCTTACCTCATCTAAGTCAACACATCCGAGCTTAACTTATTATTACTTAAGCTAAGCCAACCTAGCCTAATTTTACCTAAGCTAAGCCCAGCTACCACAACCTACTGAGCCAGAGTGCGGTGTGGCTCTCCCAACACAGCCAAAACCCAGGATAAAAACGCTATGTGGTTGTTTACATATGGCTAATAGCGAAATATTGCGCTGTTTGGCATCTTGGCTGTCTTGAGAACCACAACACTGTGGCTCTATCGTCACCCGGTGGATAACTCGCCAATGGAGCTTGAAATTTATTACAGACTGGTTTACTTTTTAGCTCTTCTTTAAGAATATCTTTTGTATTTCGTGTTAGAGGACTTAAAATACTTCGATATTATTCAAGTGCAGTATAGACAAGAAAACTGAACCTGAGGACAAATGAGTAGGTCTACCTGACCTGTCGTAGCCTGGTCTAGTATTAAGAAAGATACTTACGGACACAGACGCCACCGTTGCACTGTTCACCAGAGGGACAGTCGGTCTCGACGGCGCAATAGGTGATAGTGGTACAGCCAAGATTGGGGTCGCCGGTGAAGCCTGCTTGGCAGAAGCACTGGTGGAGGTGGGATTGTGGGGTGCAGCCAGCGTTCTTGCCACACACGCCGGGGATGGAACACGGATTGACGCATCTGTTGTTAACACACGACTTGTCTCCGGGACATTCGTTGTGGCCCAGACATTCAAGAGCGACACAGCTGCTGGAGGGGTCGCCGGTAAACCGTGGTGGGCAGAAGCAAACAGCTTTGTGGTTCTCAGTAATGCACTGGGCGCCAGCCCCACAGCTTCCTGGCGAGGTGCAGGGATTGTAGCAGTTATTGTTGGCACAGGCAGCTGTGTCAGGACAGTCGGTGTCCTGGACGCATTGGCCTGGGGTACGACAGCCAGTTTTGATGGGGTCGCCCACCTGGCCCTGAGGACACAAGCAGGTGTAGCTGCCGAGACCATTACTGCAGAGCGCAGACCTGTGACAAGGCGTGTCACGGCACTCGTCTACGTCCACACACAACCCAGTGGCATCTGTTTGGAAGCCTCGGTCACAGTAACAGACGGCAGCGTGGTCCACTGTCTGGCACCGACCAAAACCACAGTTTGTGTTGTCACAAGGATCTGCGGACAATGGAAAATTATTAATAACACAAACGGTGCACTACCTTAACAGTATGAGAAAGTAAGAGGAACATCGGGTTCATTACACCACAACAAAATATTACAGAACAGAAGCGCTACTTACTGATGCACTTGAAGCGTTGTCGGTCACACAGTTTGTTGCTGGAACAGTCACCATTACTGATACAGTCTCCCTGCACACAGCCAAGAGACAGGTCGTTAGGGTCACCGTAATGGCCCGGTTCACACTCGCACAAAGGCTTACGGTCGGCCACCTTACAGCGGGCGTTGGTGCCACACACAGCAGAGGCACAAGGGTCAACACACTTTAGGATTCCGTCTCCATTGAGTTCGCATGCCTGTTCGCCCTCGCACTGGTCGTCATTTTCGCACTCGTTGGGTTTCTGGCAGCCGGGAGCTCCATACGCGTCACCCACAGTGAAGTGAGGACATGTGCACTTATAAGAGCCGGGCACGTTGACGCAAGTGGCTGTGACATGGCACGGCTTCTCCTGGCACTCGTCCAAGTCCACACATCCGTTAGGTCCTGGCTGGAATCCCTTGGCACACATACATTTCTTGGAGATACAGACCTCATTCACTCGACAATCACCGTTGCTGCGGCAGCCTGACATACACGAATCCGCGATACAAACTTCTCCTTGCAAGCAGTTGCTGTCGCCGAAGCAGACCTTGTGACACATTCCTCCAACACAACTCTCGCCCTGAGCACACTGAGAGTTCTGTTGACACACGGGCTTACACCTGCCGGAGTCACAGATGGTGCCATGTCCACACTCCTCGGCGGAGACACAAGTGATAGGGATTCGAACACATTCTTGTTGTGCTGTGGGTGAGGGATTGAAGCCCTGGGGACACTGGCACTGCGCTCGATGATTCTGGACGCGGCACTGGGCGTTAAAGCCACACACGTTGTCCTTGGTGCAGGGGTCGACACACTTGCTGTTGACACACCCCTTCTCAGCGGGACAGTCACCATTATTGCGGCACCCCAGGAGACAGATACCATTGTTGCAAGCCTGGCCGGTGGGGCACTGGGATGAAGAGACGCATGGCACCATGCACATATTGGTGGTACATCGCTCACCCTCGGCACATTCAGTGTTATCCCGGCACACCGCGCGGCACTGACCCTCCAAACACACGCCCCCTTGACACTGGGCGTCATTGCTACACTGGGAGGTTACTCGGTTGCACCCCTTGTCTGATGTTGGGTAGGGTTGGAAACCTGGTGGACAATTGCAAATTGGTTTCCTGTTGACCACGTTGCAAAGGGTATTAGGCCCACAGGCACGGTCACAAGGTGAGGAACAGCGGCCGTTGATGCAGACACTGTCAAGTGAACAATCGTCATTGCCATTAGGACACATTCCCTTTGGGTGGCAGCCGGTGGTGTACGGGTCGCCTACCATCCCTGCCGGGCAGGAGCACTGGTGACTCCCTCCTGCAGGGGTGCATGTAGCCGAGGAGTGACATGGGTTGGGGTCGCACAAGTCTACGGCTTTACACTCGATGTCCGCCGATGGGTTGGGCCGGGAACCTGGAGGACACTTGCAGTTAGGACGGTGATCCTCAGCGATGCAGATGGCGTTGTCACCACAGGCGTCATAACACACGTCGAAACATGTGAAATCTAATCTGTTACAAGCCTTGTCAGTGGGACAGTCAGCGTTGATGATGCAGCTGACGGAGGAACAACCACTCACTGGGTCATTAGGATCCCCAGCGAAGAGACCTGGAGGACACTGGCACTGAGCGGCGTGGTTGTTGGGGATACAGACAGCACCCGGGCCACAGCGCAGAGTGGAACACACCTCAACACACTTACGCACGTTACCTTGAGCCTGGCACTTTTGGGTCTCGGGACACTGAGCATCTAATATACAGTCATCGCGGGGCAGCGGGCGGCACCCACTCCGGTCGTTGGGGTTCCCGGTGAAGCCTGGGTCACACTGGCACTGTCCGCGATGGTTGCTGGCGAAACATGTTGAGTGAAGCGGGCAGTTGAAGCCCTGACACACGTCCACACACTTGAGGACTCCCAGTTGGTCGGGTTTGCAAGCGGCGCTGAGGACACACTCACGGTCACTCTGACAGTCTGGCACGGCTGGTTCTGTCAGGAGGAGTAACAGGTTAACACTCATGTCTCCACTATACAGTTCAATCCAAATATACTTTTTCTGTGACAACAACAACTAATATCCTTCTTTACTTACGTCTTAGTCATCTTTTATCACACACACACACACACACACACACACACATCAATATTCAATAATACTAATTGTTCTTACTTCAATACTACATTGACCTCTACACAATAAAGACTTAACAAACAACAACACTAGTGAAAAAGTGTGAGTCATTATGGCTACCACCAAATTATTCACGACAAACTCATAGTGACTTGTTCTTGACACTAACTTCTGCAATGATACAATTATTTGTTACCTTGACGAAGCGTTCAATAACAATAACTATATCATGAGACATAAATCAACTTAATGAAGCTCTGACTACAGGTGGAGGGGGAGGGAGAGTGGGGGGGAGGAGGAGGGACGGGGAGGGAAGGGAGAGGAGAGAGAGGTAGGATGACTCACTTTGGCAGCGGTTGGTGGTTGGGTTGTGGCGGTATCCCTCTTCACAGCGACACAGAGGTCGTCCTTCCTGCACGTAGCACAGTTCGTACTGACCACAGGTGTGGGAGAAGCAGGGGTCCACACAGCCTTTATTGCCCTGCAGGTCAACCTGACACACCTGCCCCTCACTACAATCGTCGTCCTTGTCACAGTGACTTTCGCGGTCTTCTGGCTGACATCCGGAAACGGGGTCGCTGGGGTTTCCAAGATAGTCCTCCTTACAGAGGCATGAGGAACGATGTCCCTGGGCCACGCAGATAGCATTAGGGCCACATTCCACCTTGTTACAGGCGTCCACACACGTCCGTCGTCTGTTCAGTGAGAAGCAAATTTCGTTGTCGTCACAGTCAAGGTCGTTGTGGCAGCCAGAAGCTTGACAGCCCTGAGTAAGGTCATCAGGGTCGCCCTGGAACCCAACAAGACACGCACAGCTGCCCTGGTCGCAGGCAGCGTTCGGTCCACACACAACATCGACACAGTCAGATACACCACATCCCTCAGGATCTTCGAGACAGGACTCTGTAGCAGGTTGTATTGGCATGCACATCTGGAAGGGGTTGCCAAAGAAGTTTTCCTGACAGCGACAGTCGAAGCTGCCGGGAGTATTGAGACAGACAGCGTTCATGCCGCAGGCGTTGCCGATGCACTCGTCAATATCAACGCACTCCACATAGGGATTGCCCTGGAAGCCGACGGGGCAGACGCAGTCGACGCGATTGATGCCTTGTCGACACTGAGCACCTGCACCGCACTTGGTGGTGGAGCAGTCGACCTTCGTCTCCTCAGACTGGCAGGACTCGTACGGGTTGCCGCTGTAGCCAGTGTTGCAGATACACCTGTTGGGCTGACCATACTCACAGTGGGCGTTGGAGCCGCAGCCAGGAGTACACAGTGGTGGCATCACAGCTGTAGCAGAGATAATATCTGTTATACACCTGTCAGCACCTGTGTCATGGCCTAAGTGATACATATAAGTGTCAGCACCTGTGTCATGGCCTAAGTGATACATCTAAGTGTCAGCACCTGTGTCATGGCCTAAGTGATACATCTAAGTGTCAGCACCTGTGTCATGGCCTAAGTGATACCTCTAAGTGTCAGCACCTGTGTCATGGCCTAAGTGATACCTCTAAGTGTCAGCACCTGTGTCATGGCCTAAGTGATACCTCTAAGTGTCAGCACCTGTGTCATGGCCTAAGTGATACATCTCATGGCAGCACCTGTGTCATGCACCTGTGTCATGATACATCTGCGTCAGCACCTGTGTCAAGTGATACCTCTATGTCAGCAGCACTCTGGGTGATACTTATGTCAGCACTGTGTCATGGCCTAAGTCAAGTGGCACTCAGTCATGGCCTGCGATACATTCTAAGTGTCAGCACCTGTGTCATGGCCTAAGTGATACATCTAAGTGGCAGCACCTGTGTCATGGCCTAAGTGATACATCTAAGTGGCAGCACCTGTGTCATGGCCTAAGTGATACATCTAAGTGTCAGCACCTGTGTCATGGCCTAAGTGATACATCTAAGTGTCAGCACCTGTGTCATGGCCTAAGTGATACATCTAAGTGGCAGCACCTGTGTCATGGCCTAAGTGATACACCTAAGTGGCAGCACCTGTGTCATGGCCTAAGTGATACATCTAAGTGGCAGCACCTGTGTCATGGTCTGTATGTTATTACTATACTTAATGTGATGACACAAGAAAGTTATCTTCCAATAATTACTGTAGTGACAATAAAGAGTGAAGTAGTTGTACTTACGGGGTACACACAGGAGGTCAGGGTCGCCCAGGAAGAAGGGCAGACACACACACCTGTTGGTGTTCTTGTCACACTTGGCACCAACGCCGCAAACGACGCCTTCACAGCGTTCCTTACACCTGCCATTGACACACACCTGTGGGTCCTGGCATGGGGTAACTCCTGAGCACTGGTCGGGGGCACATCCACCACCTGGGAATGGGTTGCCGTTGAAGCTCGGTTCGCACTTACAGGTGGGGCCGTCACGGGCTACGATACAGTTGGAGTTGTGGCCACAGAGGAAACCTTCACACATAGACACACAGTCACCGTTAGGTCCCTCAGCATAGCCTGGGTGGCAGCGGCACCAGGCGGCGTGTTCCTCTGCCTCGCAGTAGGCGTTAGCGCCGCAGGGTAGCGAGTCACAGGGGTTGACACAGGCACCTGTGGGGGTGCACGCAAGGTCCCCAGGACAGTCACTGTCGCTCACACACTTAACCAACTGCGTTCCTGTGCAAGGGCCGACGAAGGGGTCGCCCACAGTTCCTGGCGGACATTCGCACTTGTACGTTCCAATTTCGTTTATACAGATGGCGTTCTGGCCGCAAGGGTTTTCGCGGCACTCTTCAATGTCGATACAACCAGTGGGGCCGCCGTCATGGAAGCCTGGTAGACACATACACTGGGGTGGGTCTGAGGGTGTACACTTGCTGTTGATGCCGCACGAGTACGCCTCACAGGGACTCTTGCACTTGTTGTCGTCCTGGTTGTCAACATAGTACGGTGGAGGACACACACACTTACCAGGCTGGATGCACCTCTCATTGTCGTCACACTCAGCGTCGCTGGAGCACTGGAGATCTACCACAGAGCACCCAGAGGTGTAGGGGTCGCCGGTAGAGCCAGGGGCACAACGACACTCATAGCTGCCCACCTGGTTGTAACACTGAGCGCCCTGAGCACAGGGAGGGCGGCTGTCTGGGCGAGGTACCGTGCACTCATCTACATCCTGGCAGGAGCCGTCGGGGAGGGTGGTGTAGCCGGAGGGGCAAGCACAGTAGCTCAGTCCCCCCTGGATGGTGACACACTCGGCCCCCGCAGGGCATGGGTTACCCAGAGCACAGTCGGCTAACACACAGGTCCCATCCACGATGCGGTATGGCGGCAGGCACGTGCACTCCAGCGTGTTACATTCTGCCCACACAAAATAATACATCAGAAATCCACACTTGAGATTACATAAATGTTAGATAATCAAGTGACTGCCAGAAAAGAAATCAGGAAACTCAGAACACAAAATATTTATGCCTACATGTACTGTTGCCTGGCAGAGTCAATATTATAACCTATCTGGGACCTGCTCTAGCAGGTGACATGAGTCATAACAACAGGTACTTACTCTCGCAACCGTTGAAGGGGTTGCCAACGTAGCCCGGAGGACACTGGCAGTCATAGGAACCTGGCAGGTTCTTACAGTTAGCGTTGAGACCACACACAGGCTGGTTGACGCGGTTCTCTATGCACTCGTTGACGTCGCGGCATCGATCGGTGCCCTGGTCCCTCGTGTAGCCACGTCGGCAAACACACACGTTCTGCCCAATGGACTCGTCTGTGATGCATTGCTCGCCTGAAGGACAGGGCTGGGTGGGGCTGCATCCTTTAGATGCAACTTCTTTGCAGCCCTCCCTGGTGGGGTCGCCCTCGAAGCCAGAGGGACATTCACAAGTGAACTTTCCTGGTTCGTTGCGGCAGATGGCACCGGTGCCGCAGGGAGCATTAGCACACTCATCGATGTCTGTACAGCCAAACACGCCATTGGGATTGCCGGAGTAACCCTGACCACACATACACCTCGGCTGCCCGTTGATCAGCTTACACCCGGCGTTGGGGCCGCATCGCACGTCCTCACAAGGGTCTGTAGGGAGAGGTGACTATTTACAACCTGGTAACTCGAACATAAGCATATTATTTAACACTACAATCATATTTCTCAACATAATTAGCTAACTACCACGATGCACAATAATTTTACCATGACAGCCATATTCCTCATCATTGACAAGAGTACATGAGAAAGTACAGTACAGTACTCACGTCGACAGTCGTCACCAATGTTGGGCTCCGGACACATGCACTGGTTGAGGAGACAGAGGGCATTGCCTGGACAGTCGTCGTCAGTGTTGCACTTCATAATATCGAGACACTGGGTGTAGGGGTCAGGGTCAGCCACGGTATTGGCGGGGCAGGTACAGGTGTAGGAGCCGACGGTGTTGGTACAGTCAGCCCCCACGCCACACGACCCGGGCCGGCGACACTCGTCCACATCTAACATAAATTTAATAGTTGTTGTTGTTATCAGATTCTAGAGGGGGCTTTAGTAGCTAGGGCTCTATTACACCCCCCCCCCCCACTCTGGTGTTATTCAAGGTGGAGGTGATACTTGTCTTGTTATGGTGTTGTGTTGTTGGTGTTGTGTGGTGTTGGTATTGTAGTGCTGGTGTTATTGTTGGTGTTGTGGTGGTGTTGGTATTGTAGTGCTGGTGTTATGGTGTTGGTGTTGTGGTGGTGTTGGCATTGTAGTGCTGGTGTTGTGGTGTTGGTGTTGTGGTGGTGTTGGTATTGTAGTGCTGGTGTTGGTGTTGTGGTGGTGTTGGTATTGTAGTGCTGGTGTTATGGTGTTGGTGTTGTGGTGGTGTTGGTATTGTAGTGCTGGTGTTGTGGTGTTGGTGTTTATTACTTGTGTTATTGTAATTATGGTTGAGTGTGCATGGTGAAGTCACTTCAAAAGATAAAATTAACTTTAAAATAACATATAATAACCTTTACCACCATACATTAGGCCTGAGTGACCTCCTAGCCGCCCCACACAACACACTATAAGACTGAGGGTCACTTCACGATATCAGAACATTAAAGGCGTGAAGGATATCAAAGTAACTGTACCTACAAGGACAATTAGTTTCCGATATCGTAAAACAAAAACTTCGAAAAAATACTGCAAAATTATGGAAAAAACAAACATTATAATCTATTTTTGTATGGTCCTGTAAAGTAGATGTTTACATAATATATATCTTAGAGTATAACTAGAGTATGATTTAATTTCAAGTGTGAGTATGATAATTAGTAGAGCGGTAGACAGGTACACACATACATTAAACAGGTACACAGGTAGACTACCACCAGGTCTCTCTCTCACACACACACACACACACACACACATATTAAACCACAATTCTACTTTTTTTTTTAACCTGGACAATCCATTACTTCATAATTAATGGAAAATCACAAGGAAAATTTCTCCAAGACGAAATAATCAACTGATAAAAAATTTCACATGGATCAGGTCACCAGTACAACTAAGTTCCCTGTGTTTGTCGTGTGCCTTGAGGGAAGTGAGACAATTCACACGGATGAGGCACCCCAAATTCTAACCAACTCTCCAGGAGGGTGTGTGATGCGTGCGTCTCATACTAACCACATTCCACCACAGGGTCGCCGCTCAGAGGCTGGGGGCTTGGGGTAGGTGTAGTTCCCAGGGTGTTGGTGCATAGCGTTCTTACCACAGGGGAATGGGTAATAGGCACTCGTTAACGTCTGTACATGCGGCGTAGAGAGCTACAGGATTAGGTAGAAGATTTGGTTAGTTTAATGCTTTGCTTGGGTGGGGATTATACTGTGGATGGTTAGTATTGTTAGTATGGTTAATGCTTTGATGCTGCTTCTAGTTAGTGAGTTAGTGAGCTAGAATACTGTAGTTAGTGAGTTATTGAGCTACTTACTGTACTAGTTAGTTAGCCGTGCATTATTTTGGCGATAAAACTACTGTATTTAATAGTTTACTTAATAGGCAGTTAACTTATGGCATGCTTGTTAATATACATGTCAAAATGATGATCCCTGGGGTGAGCAAATATTATAAAACAATATTTATTCTACAATTACAAACATTTATTCATAAAGATTCTAAAAAGATGATTCAATTTTCAGCATTTTATATAATGTATGTATGTATGTATGTATGTATGTATGTGTATGTATGTATGTATGTGTGTGTGTGCAGTATGTATGTATGTATGTATGTATATATGTATGTATGTATGTATGTATGTATGTATGTATGTATGTGTAATTTTTCTACATTTAATTGTGTAGTGAGAAGTAACTTTAGTTTACTCATTGTCCCAGGAATCAAGAAAGGCACTTAATGTTATACCTATTATACTGTGCTTATTAGCACCACCGCTACAGGGGGTTGTTGAAGTGGTTAACACGCTAAGGGTTTGTGGTGATGCATTTGTTTTACACTGTAGGTAAGCCAGTTTGAAGCTGTTTGTAAGACATGCAGCAAACACAGAGGCTGTTAATAATTTAGGCTTGAAAGCTTGGCTTGGGGATTTATCTCAACTACAGGAAGCTTAAGGTTTGGTTAGGTTAGGTTTGGTTAGGTTAGGTTTGGTTTGGACTAGGTTGGGTTGGGTTGGGTTAGGGTTTTCTCTCCTACAACTAGCCATGTGTTCCTAGATGGCTTAGAACTAGAAGTCAGGTCAGGTAACGCTTAAGACGAAGGAACCTTACCTTGGCACTTGGTGTTAGGATTGCCTGAAATCCTGAAGGACTTTGACTTGGGTAAGGATCCCAGTGTGTTTGTTACAGATGGCGTGTCCCACACTGGCCAGAGGACAGTTCCCAGCTGAGCACTCGTCGACGTCTGTAAATACTGGTACACAGTAGTTAAGTTGTGTCAGTCTGCCAGGGGCAGAGCTGGGCCGGAGGTGAGGTGATAGGGAGGGTGGGGTGTGGTGAAGGAGGTGGTTGTGGTGAAGGAGGGTGGTTGTGGTGAAGGAGGGTGGGTGCGGTGTGAAGGAGGGTGCAGGGTGAAGGAGGGTGGGTGACTAAGAGGTTAGCACTAAGACTTCAAAGTTCGACTGCGTGTGGGTAAGGTGTTCTGAGGTGACCTGAAGAAGCTTGATGAGTGAGTACCACAAAAAAAGTGCTAAAGTTGGTCATCCTCATCTACAACAAAACTAATGGTCCATCCCTTCTCCAAGTCTGCCGTGACGAACGTAAATTGAGAAACACAATCTATTATTAATTATCTCCAGTAACTCAAATATTTTATTATAATACTGAAAATAAATAACTATATACATCAACAGAGCTTTAAAACACTAATAAATAAATAAACTATCTACTTGTACACGCAAACTCACCAACACAGCCGGCGGAGATGTCGGCGGGGTCATGAATCCAACCGGGGTTACACATACACATAGCCTCCAGTGCCGTCAATGGCTTTACAGAGGAGTTGTCGCCACACTGGAACGCCTTCACGGGCTGCGGAAGAAGAGCGAGGGGTCTACATGAGAAGACATAAATTAGATAAAAGGTGAAAATAACCAAGGGAAGAAAACAAATGACAATGATGGAAATGAGGAGAGTGAGGAGAGTAGTCTTTTACTTCGGGATTTACGATGAAGCAAAAATTAGTACTGTACAAATCTAGTTAGAAGATGACAAAATTCTACACAATAATCTACAATGATGGTTTACACACACACTAGCTAGCAGTTAATACGACATACTGTAGAGTTGGTTCAGGTGAAGCAATAAGCAAAACATTCAGCAAATTACAACAGTATTTTTGGGGTAGGTTAAAAAAAATGGCCTACCAAATAGATGAAGCAACCTTACCCTGCTATTAGTTAGGTATAGCAGGGCATATTAAGGCATGCACGTGAGGGATACTAAGGCATACATGAGACATACTAATACACATGAACATCAAAAACACAAGTTAGAGGAGTAGTTAGTGTGGCAGGCATACATATTTATACAGAAGGAAGTTAATGCAGTATCAAGCTGTACTTATTCAGCAGTTATCACGGTGTTGTTGGTTAATACATGCAGGAGGCCCCCCACTGATGAAGGGAGGAGGGTGGAATTGAGGGAGGGAGGGTAGGTGGGGAGGGGGAGGGGTGGGTGGGGAGGGGGTAGGTGGGGAGGGGGGACGGGGTGGAGAGAGAAGAGAGGGAGGAAAATATCACCAATAATAATTAATAGATGACACAAGGCGGTGGATGTAACTAAGGGTGAACACGTGATTTATGGGGTAGAACACGTGGTTTATGGGGAGTGAACACGTGGTTTATGGGGAGTGAACACGTGGTTTAACAAGGGGATCAAGTAATGAACAACTGGTGAATTAAGGAAACAACAAATGGAATTAATGAAATGTATTTGGGATTTAGAAAGACTACGTTATACACAAAGAATTTGACAACGGAAACTATGCAGGTGTAAAAGGGTGAACAAAGGGTGTGGTGGTAGTGGTGGGTGGTGAGTAGGGACGTGGTGGTGGTGGCGAGGAGGGGCGTAGTGGTAGTGAGGGAGGGACGTGTGGTGGTAGAGGGACATTGGTGGTGGGGTGGCGAGGAGGGCGTAGTGGTGGTGAGGGAGGGACGTGGTGGTGGTGGCGAGGGAGGGGGCGTAGTGGTGGTGAGGGAGGGACGTGGTGGTGCTCTTGAACGAGGACGAAGAACAGGTAAACAACAAAGGAATCCATTAACTGTGCCGAGGAGAACAAAAAGGGGAACAAAAAATTTGACTGGTGGTAGTGAGCTGACTAGGTAGAGTGACTAGGTGGTGTGATTATGTGTACTTTGGGGCACTTTAACCTCCAGGGTAAAAGCACTGGCAGGTACGGGCAGACGCAGTGGAAGGAGCCCAGGGTGTTAATACACTTGGCCTTCTCCCCGCACGGCGACGACACCTCCCATGCTCCACACCCCAACACTCGTCCGCGTCTGTGTCGGGGACCCTTGCGCCCGACACGTCCTTGTGGTTAAGAGTTTGGGGTGAGTAGGGTTCAAGACCACAGGTTTGGGGAATGAGCTGGGTTAAGGAGCCCAGATGTTGAGGTTGGGATGAGGCACAAGGATTGACAGGTGGATCACAGAGGAACAAACTTATTGTTCTCTCCCCATCAGGAAGGTCGTGTTAGGGTTCTCCCCATCAGGAAGGTGTGTTGGTGTTCTCCTCCCATCAGGAAGGTCGTGTTAGGTGACCTGCTCCCCCCTCAGGAAGGTCGTGTTAGTGTTCTCTCCCATCAGGAAGGTCGTGTTAGTGTTCTCTCACATCAGGAAGAGGGTCGTGTTGTGTTCTCTCCTCAGGAAGGTCGTGTGTTGAGTGTTCTCCTACCCATCAGGAAAGTCGTGTTAGTGTTCTCTCCCATCAGGGAAGGTCGTGTTAGTGTTCTCCCCATCAGGAAGGTCGTGTTAGTGTTCTCATACATAGGAAGGTCAGTATTGATGTTCTCCTCCCCATCAGGAAGGTCGTGTTGTGTTCTCTACCCCATCAGGAAGGTCATTGATGTTCTCATATAGAGGTCATCGTGTTAGTGTTCTCTCCCCATCAGGAAGGTCGTGTTAGTGTTCTCTCCCATCAGGAAGGTCGTGTTGGTTGTTCTCTCCCCATCAGGAAGGTCGTGTTAGTGTTCTCTCCCCATCAGGAAGGTCGTGTTAGTGTTCTCTCCCCATCAGGAAGGTCGTGTTAGTGTTCTCTCCCCATCAGGAAGGTCGTGTTAGTGTTCTCTCCCCATCAGGAAGGTCGTGTTAGTGTTCTTTCCCCATCAGGAAGGTCGTGTTAGTGTTCTCTCCCCATCAGGAAGGTCGTGTTAGTGTTCTCTCCCCATCAGGAAGGTCGTGTTAGTGTTCTCTCTCCATCAGGAAGGTCGTGTTAGTGTTCTCTCCCCATCAGGAAGGTCGTGTTAGTGTTCTCTCTCCATCAGGAAGGTCGTGTTAGTGTTCTCTCCCCATCAGGAAGGTCGTGTTAGGGTCATCAGGTATAGGTGAGGTTAAATACAACAATAATAAGCACTTCTAGATGTTAGTTAATTAGATAGTTGGTTAGTTAACTACTTAATTAGCTTGTTAATACTAAGCGTCATGCCATTAATTACAAGATGATAGACCCTCCACACCCTGACGTATCTTCAAGACTTTTGATTAAGTTAATAACGTCAATATAAAGGATTAATAACTACGTGTTTAAGTGATAATTATTATGTTATCATACTGTCAGGGCCTTGAGTGTCCCACGTTATGTTGGTGACTGGTCAATAACTTGTAGCAGACGGGTTATAAAACTCAGAGGTCATGTTAGGTTATCTTGTTACAGTCTGGCTAAGCAACAAATATTGTTAGGGTGAAATAGACTCAGCTAGAATACATGATGAACACACACACACACACACACACACACACACACACACACCTATACACACACACACACACACACACACACACACACACACACACCCCACACACACACACACACACACACACACACACACACACACACACACACACACACACACACACACACACACACACACACACACACACACACACACACACACACACACACCTATACACACACAACTAACCTTTGCAGACGGACTGTGGAGGGTCGCCGATGAAGCCAAAGTTACAGGTACACTGGAAACTGCCTGGCACGTTCTGGCACTGGGCGTTGGCTCCACAGGGGGACAGTAGGCACTCGTCCTCGTCCCGGCACTCGGCACCCACGGCCTTGAATCCTTCCCGGCAGTAACACTGACCCTCCTGACAAACGGCGTTGTTCACACAGTCGAAGTTGGACCCACAGATGATGCTCACTTCAGCCTGGTGGTGGTGGAGGTGGTGGTAGTGGTGGTGGTAGAGGTGGTTGTGGTGGTGTTAGAGGTGGTGTTAGATGGTGGTGTTAGAGGTGGTTGTGGTAGTGTGTTTAAATGGTGGTGGTAGAGGTGGTGTTAGATGGTGGTGGTAGAGGTGGTTGTGGTAGTGTGTTTAGAGAGTAGTGGTGATGTCCTGTTGACATTGTGACAGTGGTGGTCGTGTGGTTGGATTTTAGTGGTGGAAGGTTGAGGCGGTGGTGGTGAGAGTGTAGGGAAATATTCTTCACCTCTCAAATCTTACACCTGACTTTCACTTGTCTCTAAATCTTACACCTGACTTTCACTTGTCTCTAAATCTTACACCTGACTTTCACTTGTCTCTAAATCTTACACCTGACTTTCACTTGTCTCTAAATCTTACACCTGACTTTCACTTGTCTCTAAATCTTACACCTGACTTTCACTTGTCTCTAAATCTTACACCTGACTTTCACTTGTCTCTAAATCTTACACCTGACTTTCACTTGTCTCTAAATCTTACACCTGACTTTCACTTGTCTCTAAACTTAATATCAAACTTTCTTTACTCATGACCTGCAGACACTCACAGGAGGCGCCGGGAACACAGTAGGTGCACTAACCTGTTCACAGGCTACTTGGGGCGTGGGTCTGGGGGAGAAGCCTTGAGGACACACACAGGTGTAGCCAGGTTCGGTGTTCTGACACAAGGCGTTGAAGCCACACGGGCGGTTGTATGCCGTGCACTCGTCGATGTCTGTAAGGTCAACACACAGGTGAGAACAGGTAACATACAGGTACAGTACAATACAAATGACATACAGGTGAAGCCCCCATCCTTGTGTTTAGTGACAACTCTATAATACTCTGACCCAAACACTGGTGAATAAAGACTTACTCATACTCACTTTGCATGGACTACACTACAATAATTGAGTTTGTTATGACAGACATGTGACCAAGACATTCGGGTACTGGTGAAGGTGTAGTACACTCACCGACACAGCCAATGTAGGCGTTACCGGTGTAGTCCTCCTTACACTGGCACGAGTAGCTGCCCACATTGTCCAGGCAGATGGCGTTCTCACCGCAGGGTTGAGTGAGGCATTCGTCCACGTCTGTTGGAGGAGAGGAGGGGTTAGTTATATACTGGTGATGTGACACTACCCCACCTACCACACTACCCCACCTACCACACTACTCCACCTACCACACTACTCCACCTACCACAGCCTACCACACTACTCCACCTACCACACTACTCCACCTACCACACTACTCCACCTACCACACTACTCCACCTACCTGCCACTACCCCACCTACCTGCCACTACCACACTACTCCACCTACCTGCCACTACCACACTACTCCACCTACCTGTACACTACCACACTACTATAGGACTATTAGTTAACCTCACACCCCTACAACCTCATGTTAACGTGAAGTGTTAATTGTTATTTCTGGCGTGTTAATTACCATAAATAATCTCAAGGTAATCTGAGGTTTGCTAACATCTCTCTCTCTCTCTCTCTCTCTCTCTCTCTCTCTCTCTCTCTCTCTCTCTCTCTCTCTCTCTCTCTCTCTCTCTCTCTCTCACAGTACCTAATTAGAACACTATTTCGTGACAATTTATTGTTAATTCAGCGCCCAATTCTATGCCCATTACAACCTAGGGAGAGCAATGAACCCTGAACCCATTTCAATCCCAATTTAAAACCCAAATCTATTACTAAGTTAGAGCTAATAAGCTTAGCCAATGGCATCATTAAATAGCAACAGCTGGCACATGTAAACAAAGTCAGAACAGCTGGTAATATAAACAGTCAGAACAGCTGGTAATATAAACAAAGTCAGAACAGCTGGTAAAAGCAAACAACAAAAAAACAAACAATAAACAAATTCAGGGATTGTAGGTGTCATGGGCCCTAGTTTACCAAAGGGTCCACTGAGGGCCCAGAAGAACGAGAGAGTAAATTAACACCTACTAAAAGGTTCGGTCGCCTCTCCCTCCTGAACCACGTACCCCGAGATTCAGACTCATGAATCCGAAGCATTTATGGACAGACTATTGTGTATCAGTCTCCTGCTTCGGGTTCACGAGTCGGGGTTCGGGGTTCGGGGTTCGGGGTTCGGGGTCCGTGGGTTCAGGAAGGAGAGGCGACAGGACTTGAGGACTGTACAGATGACGAAGAAAAACTCTGTCGAGAATTTATGATAAATTAAAATATAAACAACAATATTAAACTTAAATAAAAAAGGAAATGTCTTGCCAAGTAGGAAACGAAACAAAGTAATATTGAAGAATTGGCGGGAAAACTGTTGTCGTGGAAACAGTTTTAGGAGGAAACGATACAAAATAATACTGAAGAATTGGCGGGAAAACTGTTGTCATGGAAACTGTCCTGGGAGGAAACGATGCAAAAAAAAAATGGCGGGAAAACTATTGTCGTGGTAACTGTCCTGGGAGAAAAAAAGTAATATTGAAGAATTGGCGGGAAAACTGTTGTCATGGAAACAGTTTTAGAAGGAAACGATACAAAATAATACTGAAGAATTGGCGGGAAAACTGTTGTCATGGAAACTGTCCTGGGAGGAAACGATGCAAAAAAAAAATGGCGGGAAAATGATGTCGCGAAGACCGTCAGGAAGGAACAATGTTGGAAATAACGCCCGTAACCATAACAACAGCGCCAGCACGAGCAGAGAACAATGCCTGGCAAACCCTTCTCTCTACGTCGCATGGACACACTGACAAAAGGTACGCCAGACGACCTTTTGCCCCGCTTTTTGCCTGCAGTGGCGCTGATTGTATGGTGGTTGGGACAGAACTCCTTTGAGGATCACAGGAGGATGTTACTTTAAGTTCAAGGAAGGTCTCTCAGGGGATGTGGGTGGAGGAGGGTGTGAGGGTAGCAGTGGGTGGAGGGTGTGAGGGTAGCAGTGGGTGGAGGAGGGTGTGAGGGTAGCAGTGGGTGGAGGTGTGAGATGGCAGTGGGTGGAGGAGGTGTGTGAGGTAGCAGTGGGTGGAGGAGGTATGGTGGCAGTGGGTGGAGGGAGGTGTGAGGTGGCAGTGGGTGGAGGGGGTGTGAGGCCTGTGGGTGGAGGAGGGGGTGTGGGGGGTGTCAGCAGTGGGTGGAGGGAGGTGTGGGGGCTGTTCCCAGTGGGTGGAGGAGGGTGGCAGTGGTGGAGGGTGTGAGGGTAGCAGTGGGTGGAGGAGGGTGTGGGGTAGCAGTGGGTGGAGGAGGGTGTGAGGGTGGCAGTGGGTGGAGGAGGGGGCATGGGTGGAGGAGGGGGGGCGCTGAAAGAACCGGAGGTGAGAGAAAGAAGGTAATGTCAGGGGTAATTCCCGGTCAAACTACACGGCACTGTAAGGTCGAGGCGGAGGCCCGTTGTGTTTCACGGGGCGAGAAGAGTAGTCCGGGAAGGCCTTCAAGGGGCGGGAAAGGTACAGGAGTCCAAGGAGAGGGTCCTTCAAGACGCAGCGAAGGAAGTGGTCGTCCAGGGGGAGTCCTTCAAGACGCAGGGAAGGAAGACACAGTTCGTTGAGTATCCTTTAAGAGGAAGCATTACGAAGGCTCTACTAACTGCTGCAGGACTCCTTTCCGTCTCCCTCGTATCCTGAAGGACAGAAGCACTTGTAGGACCCGGGGACATTAAGGCACTTGGCGTTAGGGCTGCAGGTGGTGGCCAGCCCGCACTCGTTTACGTCCGTGCACTTCTGGTAAGGGTCGCCCGTGAAGCCCTGGGGACACCGGCACTCGAAGGAACCCTGAGTATTCATACAGGTCGCCGAATGCCCACAGGGGAACGTCCAGTTGGAGGCCTCAAGGAGCCCCGGCAGGAGTGTGCCCATGAGGCCGTCCAGATCCGTCACATCGAAGGTGTAGGAGGTGGTGGCCTCAACCTCGTCATCCGGGCTCCTCTCCGTGGTCGGGTCCACACACTCGTTTACATCTTGGTTAGTAAAGCATCTCATGATTAGACTACACACCTGTCTACACCTGTCTACAGTACATCTGGCGAGGGTTATCACATACCTGCCTCTAGTAGTAAAGCATTAGTGAGGATTAATATATACATATATCCGGTATGTACAGTACACATATGGCTAGAAGTCTTAGCTATACTGGCGCCAGTGACCACAACACAGGCCCTGACCATCACTGGTAACAGACCTTACCCACCAGGAGGAGCGGAGGAGGAAAAGAGACGAAAGTAACAAAGATAAAGGGGAGAAGACCAAGAAGGAGAGAGAGAGAGATCCACCTCCCTTCAAGTATTTCTCTCCCCTGGGGCAGCTACCAGTGACCGTGACAAGGTGTGTTGTGGCCACAGGTGTGAGACAAAGATAACAATGGCACTAATTAGTATGTTACACCAATAACACCTGGCACTGGCACTCTCTAAGGTGACCAGGGTTGACGGCGGCACCTGAACCACCAGCGTTTAACAGTATACACTCAGGTGGGGTCGTGTTAGGTTGAACTCATCTCAGCTGTAGTGACTGACATGTAAACAAACACAGTGAGCGTTCGTCTAATGCTAAATGGATTCGGATTCTCAAAGATTCTTAGGTTTATTTTTGTTTTTACCCCAGACTGTTAAAAAAGAATCAACCTGGTGTACTTAAGATAGATTCTCGAAGGTTCTTACACTGTTATTTCTTCCCTTTTTTAACTGGAAATAAGAGAACACATCTAGCTGTCTCCCTCAAGCTACAGACGGACACCACACCTAACACGTCCAAGTTGTACCCAAGGAACTCTTCATCGAGGCTCTACCCGTCTCTCTTACCCTAAATTAAGAGGGAATCGATATTGACTTACGAGATGCAGACAGTCAGAAGCCAAACACCGATTCTACTATAATCACTCCTCTAACACAAGCAATTGAACATCAAGAGAACATCCAACCAACACGACCCCAAGTTAGTGTTAAATAAATAAACAAAAGTGAAAAATAAACCAACCCTCATTCCGTTTTCTTTACCTTTGCAAGCGCCGAAATTGTTGTAGGGGTCACCGATGAATCCCGGGGGACAGGCGCAGGTGAAATTGTTGATACCATCCGCGCAGAGGGCGTTGGCAGCACATGGACTGGTCTCACACTCGTTAATATCCTGTAGGGGGGGGTAAAAGTAGTTCTGTCGTTAATTAAAGAGAATTATACAAAGGGGTCGTTAGGTGATATAGTTACATAGTTCCTGTTACACTCATTTACACGTATTCCCTCAGGCACCCATATCATTTCCCCACCTACCTCTAGTTCTCCCCCACCCTCTGTAGTCCTCCCCCCACCCACCTAGTCCTCCCCCACCTTCACTAGTCCTCCCCACCCCACCTCCTAGTTCTCCCCCACCCTTCCACTAGTCCTCCCCCACCCACCTCTAGTTCTCCCACATACTCCCCTCCCCTCTCTCCCACCCACACTCACACCCGCCCTTTTCCCACCCACCACTCTCCTACCCACACAAACACCCACCCCTCACTCACCCACACCCACCCACACTCACCTGACAGCCAGAGCGGGAGTATGGGTCACCGCCGAAGCCCGTGGGACACTCACAGTCATGTCCTCCTTCACGGTTGCGGCACTTGGCACTCGGGCCGCAGCTGTCTGAGCGTAGGCACTCGTCCATGTCGGCACACTGTTGGCACGGGAGAGGTGGTTTAGTAGAGAGAGAGAGAGAGAGAGAGTAGGAGAGAAATAGACAGGTAAAAAGTGAGAGATAGCTGGAGACAGAGAGAGAGGGAAAGGGGTACACGTGCCCAGACAGTAGGTACTCACGCCGGTGTAGGGGTTGCCAATGAAGCCCTCAGGACAGGTACAGGTGTAGTTGCCGTGCAGGTTGGAACAGAGAGCGTTACCCCCACACGCCTCGGGGGAGGAACACTCGTCGATATCTATCAAAACAAAAGGATAACACGTTAGTTTCTCGTCACATCCGCCAACAACACTCACACGTCACAACCACAACTAACACGTCATAGCCACCACCTGCAAACACAACCTACCACTAATACCTCACTCCCGTTTGTTATCATTCTATCATCATCACCATCATCATCATCACCATCATCATCACCATCATCACCATCATCATCACCATCATCACCACCATCATCACCATCATCATCACCATCATCACCATCATCATCATCACCATCACCATCATCACCATCATCATCATCACCATCATCATCATCATCATCATCATCCATCATCATCACCATCACCATCACCATCATCTACACCATATACACGACCTCTCACCAACACACACTTCAAACACCAGCCTGACCCAGACAGCAGTGTGTGTGTGGTGACCTAAGTTTGTTGACTCCGGGTGTCGAAGTGGTCACACGCTACCTAGCCGGGGTCATGGGTCAACGAAGGCTGCTAATGCCACCTTCACACACACACACACACACACACACACACACACACACACACACACACACACACACACACCCCCCGCAGGTTTCTTCACAATATAGTAAAGAGTCGATTAGTACTGGCAAAAAGCTCAGCAAATCATTAACGCCATTGTCTTCACTGCCTAATCACCCCCCCTTTCCTTCCTCCTGCCTTTGCCGAGGAACACATCATCGTCATCGCCTCCTCCAGGTGTCGTCGTCGCCTCGCCCGCCCTCTAACACGCCAGCCGGTTTCACTTCCAACCTCCGACACTGATTGAAGGTCTCTATACTATAAATCATTTTCGCGAAGATGACGAGGAGAATTGGAGGGGGTGGGGGAGCCAGAGGATGGGGAGAACACTGAGCGTTGATATGAGTTTTCTCGCTAAAAAGTGACCCTGAGCCTAAGAACTTCAGCAAGGAGAGGCGGGGGGGGTTGAAAAGGTAACCTCGATTCTTCACATACATGATTTATACCAGTGAAAGTGACAGGTACTATGATAATTAATAAAGCCTCTGGCCTATCAAGTCAAGACACTGCAGGTGAACTTAAGAAACATGACGGGAGTAAATTGCAAGTGAAGAAAATGACAGCAACTAAACATTCACAAAAATACTACTTTTTTCAATATGATGAAATAACAATAAAAGTGAAAACCAAATAAGTTAATAAAAGTCACTTGCTGCCATAACCAGGGCTTAAGGGGAAGGGGGGGGGACAACTCTCCCTCACACGCTACAAACATTATCAGTGAGGTCAGAAAAGAGAGAATCGATGTTGACTCAATGCTAAAATTAAATAAAACTTGTTAAACTTTCAAGATAAATTAACGAGAAGTCCAGCTAAGCACAGATAAGCATCCTTGATACTAGTGACCTCTCGTGACCTCCCGTGACCTCGCTGATGCCCCCCCACTTCCTCCCGTGGCACTAGCCTTGGTAACCCGTTATGCCCCGGCACCACACGGCCTCGCTACTGAGTCACCGTGAGAACAATATTTTATATCGACAAGATCTGTTAGTGTTACCTGCATCTCTCTCTCTCTCTCTCTCTCTCTCTTATAGCTTCACCATGTCTCCTTCTCTCTCTCTCTCTTTCTCTCTCTTATAGCTTCACCATGTCTCCTTCTCTCTTACAACCCATCTTTCAGTCTTTCTTCTCCTCAGTCTCTCTCTCTCTCTCTCACCGTCATCTTGGCCATGTATCACCAGGTCGTGACGCCACACTCTATTTTCCTAACATCAACAGCTGCCAATGACGTCACGATTAGAAAAGAGGAAGTCGTCATAGAAAACGGAATACGGTGCCAAGGGTAACTCTTCTAGACGACCAGCATTCTCAAAAGGTTGTGTTAAATGGTCCCCGATCCTAATGTACCCTCGATATAATGGGCCCTCGTCATAATAGACCCTTGTCATAACTAATCCCTAGACTTAATTGCCCCCCATTTAGTTGAAACAGGTCCTACACTAATCAACCTATTAGAGAGAGAGAGAGAGAGAGAGAGAGAGAGAGAAATTATGTGCCGCTAGATTGTGTCAAGGTCTAATGAGCGGTGACTGAGGAAGTACACCTCTCTCTCTCTCTCTCTCATTCATATTCTGCATCTTTCTCAATATCTAACCTTAAATCATCCTCACTATCTATCTATCTATCTATCTACCTATCTATCTATCTATCTATCTACCTCAAGAGACAATCATCCATTCTCTCGTGTATATCTAAGTCCCTTTCACCTTCACCTCCCTGACTCTCCCTCCCTGACCCTCTCTCCCTGACCCTCCCTCCCTAACCCCTCCCTCCCTGACGACCCCTTCTTCCCCTTAACTCTCCCCTTCCTCCCCTAACTCCCCCCGACCCCTTCCTCCCCAGACCCCTCCTCCCCTAACTCTCCCCCAGACCCCCTTCCTCCCCCCCTCTATAGTGAAGACGCAGCATCCCTCACGTCAGGAGTTAATGAAGACCTGACCCCGGAATCTCAAAAGGTCGAACGATGAATCATCTTCCTATAATTACGGATGTGAAAACTCTCGTAAATGTTCCTAAGACACAAAGATGGAGTCTCAAAAATTACGATAAATAATCCGTTCATCCCTTCCTAACCTAACCTAATCCAACCTTCCTAACCTAACCTAATCCAACCTTCCTAACCTAACCTAACCTAATCCAACCTTCCTAACCTAACCTAACCCGTTGCTGTTGTTTGTCATCTCGTACGGAGATTATCCTAAATGAACCTTTGAATCACGGTAACCTTCTGAGAGAGAGGAGAGAGAGAGAGAGAGAGAGAGAGAGAGAGAGAGAGAGAGAGAGAGAGAGAGAGAGAGAGAGAGAGAGAGAGAGAGCACGCGATCAGGTGGTAATTCCTCCCAGTCTCGTGCTTGTTAATCAGTTGGAGTGTCTGCGGGCATGGGTATTAACACTCAGCCATACATATTAACACTCAGCCATACATATTAACACTCAGCCATACATATTAACACTCAGCCATACATATTAACATACAGACATACATACAAACCATCCATCACCAGTCATGTAACAAGTGGCTGCAGATGAGCTAATGAAACTCAACTTAAACCAAGAAGCTCCTTTAATTAGGTGAGAGATTATACTACATGCCTTCGTGAGACAGACAGACACAGAGGCTATCACCTTCAACACGCTAGTCACAGCTGCCTCTTGCCCCGGGATACAGCAACACTATCACGTACGCCACACACACTTAGCCATTTTCCACTCACATCTTTTTGTTATGAGTTTATACCAAGACAAACTGTGACTTCGTGTTTGTGTGTGATGTGATTCTGTTTTTATGTGGAGTATAACAACAAGGTGGGTGGCGTTACTGATGCTGTGGTTACTTCCTGTCGTGTGTGTGTGTACGGTCATAAGTATATCGTAGTATATCCTGTTCAACATACTAGTTATCTCTCAGACTATGTTTTTTTCCATTTCCCGTTGTAAATAATCGTCTACAGTTGTGTTCTTGTTCCCTGTGTGCTATTATGCCGTGTCTTCAACGAGGTCTGGGTCAATTAAGAGGGCAACGACACGGGCCGTCATGTTTTGTATGCTGGGGGACGTCTTCCTCAATAACCCCGTCATAAAGTCCTCGCCCGGGGTCGGTTCGAGTCACAAACGCACTATATTTAATTTCATATCCTTACCCGTGAACACATCAAGAGTAACGGTGCAATTTTGATTTGATTTATTTTACACAGTTTTTATATTATTATTAAATTATTTGATGTATTTTAAGACCTTTAATTGTGAGGAAAATTCAACGTGTGAACTGTGAACTTGGTGATGGTGGCCCGCGGCTGACATGATGCTGGTGCAACTTACTCTTGTTATTCTTGTGTAACTCGTTTATGTCTAGCTAGGGTGTTTCTGTTATATATAAACGTCGACTTTATTATCTTACAATTTATTACAGGTACTGGTGCAAGAGATGTGCTCCAGTGGACGAACACTAACATTACCGCCGGTCAGTGTCGTAACAACGGCCAACACTTCAAACTTCAACTCTACAATAATAATCACCGTTTCCTTAATATAAACAGAAAATGGTAAATAAAAAATATTATAAACAGTGGATTTATTTTACACCGTCTTTGTTTTATACATATTAACGGTTTGAAAAATATTAAGGAATAGTTTTTCTTACGCGGAGAGGAACAACATTCCTCAACGGGTGACTGGCGGCGTCTGAGTTCAACACATCCCTCCACCACCCAGCCCAGCCTAGACCTTAGTTATTAGTATATGTTCTCTAATAAATATAACACTTTATAGTTTTATTATCCGGGAGTTATATAAATGATAACACACACACAAAGCATGACCCTCAATAAAGGTACTGTATGAGAGACTCACCTGTACAACTATTGTAGCCATCTCCGGTAAAGCCATCCTTACACTTGCAGGTGTAGTGAGCAGGTAAGTTGCAACACTCGGCATCCTCCGCACACTTGGCCGCGAGCTCCGGTATGAGGCACTCGTCGATGTCTGGAAGGAAGATGGACGATATTGTTAGCGCTTCTGACGAGATTATCACAGAAATTTTGATGGTAGGAACATAAATACGTTGTAGTACTGTAGTGATAAGAGTACAACTGATCATGTACTATTACTACTACTACTACTACTACTACTACTACTACTACTACTGATAATAATACAGTAATGGCAACAATAATAATAATAAAAATAATAGTAATAATAATAATAATAATAATAGTAACAATAATAATAATAATAATAATAATAATAATAATAATAATAATAATAATAATAATAATAAATAATTCGACTTCAAACAATTCTTTACCTTATAAAACTACAGTACAGTAAATATAAACGACACCTGTACTTATACTCTACGTTGGAGTAATAATATGACCAAAAAGTTCAATATTAGAGGGAAAATGTCTTAACTGTATAAAACATGCCACAGAACACAATATCCTACACACATTAAATTTGTATCAAGATGCGACAAGACGTTTTGTAGAATCCTGAAGACAAATCGGTCCCGGGCGCCCAACGTCAAGCATCTAACTATCCCCGTGGAGGATCATTAGTCATTACTAGACCACAACTACCTCAATACACCATAACATCCACTACACCACAACATCTGTCCTGATCACCATTAAATCTCAGGGAAGTAATATTAATAGGTTTTTTTTTTTTATAAATTCAATCTCACAGCCCAAATATTCCTGCCGTTTCCTGCCATTTTACTCGACAAACAAGACATCGTGAGAGCTATGATTATACAGTAGTTTGTTTTAGATGCAGGACGTGAAGCGCCGGTAATAATGGTCTGACAAACATGATCACCAGCAGGAAATTACGCTATTAATCTCGCTAGTTTAAACACGAGGATGGGTGAGGCAGACGTCAACAAACCCCGCCTGCCAGTTTCAAGGACTTGCACGATGGTTCTTTAAAGGGCCAATTGCAAGAACAGTCGTTGGGTGTACGACGCCATTTACGATGACCTTCTTGCCCTGATCTTGTTTCAGTTATACCACCCTTTTGAAGCTCTGGAGAGATCTCGAAGTTTCGATATTTTGAGTACAGCACTAGCTAATAATTCCCACCAGGAAACTTGTTTTGAGACTCCTCCAAAGCTTCGAAAAGTGCAGAATTCCACGTGTTAAAGGCGATATTGCTGAAAAAAGACCAGGGCAGGAAGGTCATCGTAAATGGCGCCGTACACCCCATATCCGTTCTTGCAATTGGCCCTTACTTGGGTCGTACCTCGTGTTAAGGGTGATAATTACCGTCATCCTTCATAATAAGACGATAAATCTCAGACTTGACAAAAATGATTTAACTTCATCATCAATTAGGAGTGATATTAAACCAGTACCGGGAAGATATTGTTAAAACTTTGTCTACACTTACCATTAAACCAGTGGACATTGTTAATAGTTTATTCTGACGTAATCTTAATGTGTACTATAACGAAGGAGATAATTCAGATAGCGTGAGTCGTTAAGAGTAATTAGACACCTTAATCACTTATTCACTAGACATAACTGCCTCTATCGTCGTAGTAGGCAGCAGGCAGTTATCAAACAGGGAGGTACTACCGCCTGGGAAGATATTGGAAGCATAATGTGTTATCTAATGGTAGACCCTGCTGCCATATGTGACCAAGTCCCAGGTTGCTCATCTGACTTTCTGCCTCATTTACACATAATTGCAGGGTCTCAGTTGTTTCTCTCACCATTGACAACACAACATACATATATTGTTTCTCACTATACAGTCGATCTTTTTTGTTTCTTGTTTATTTATGGTCCATTATTATTACTATTATTATTTTAATTTATATCTTATAAATTTTTTTATTGAGTTTTATTAATTATTATTATTATTGTTATTATTATCATTATTATTACATTTTCGCCCCCCAGGCCTTGATGTGGGTCAGTGACCTCTGCCCCGGTGGGTTAATCCCCATAAAAAAACTCCTCAACTCATTACATCAGTAGACACAGTTAAGGTACAAATGTTACCTAGTCGTTATCTGTTATCATCAACAAACTAGTATACATTCTTGAAAGGTAATTTGAATTTATCTGTAAATAAATAAGCAAGATTTGCCTCGTATGAGTGTTAAAGCAGCAACATCGAGAGACGCTAATAAGCTCTTGTGTGTACGCGGTGAAGTAGGTACACTCGCAACAAAAAGTATCGGTGCATACTGTAGTGTGAACAATTTGAGACCAATGACGATAGGTATTGGGAAAGGCGAGTTGTTCCAGCCGTATGTTGGCAGCCCTGATTGTCAGCCATATGGCAACACCTAGTGGAGGGGAGGGGTTATGAGGATACACTTACCAACCTTCCCGACATATCACAGTGTATACGTATCGTTTCGGAACTCGTCAACCTCACCCTGCACCGATACTTTTTGGTGCGAGTGTACAGCTCCGTCCTGACCCTCCCTGCAGCGACTGGCGGAGCTAACACCCGCCTGCACACCTCACCCCAACAAGATTTCACCACCACGGCGGAAAATCACTATATACGTTGAAAAGACTTGTCGTTTATTTTGTTCGTCATATTCAGCAAGTCATATAAATAATCTCTCTCTCTCTCTCTCTCTCTCTCTCTCTCTCTCTCTCTCTCTCTCTCGCAGTATCTAGTTACGTGAGTTACTGTTTAGAAGCGGCCTCATATTATTAGTTAAGAGGAAAATTAAACCACGATGCGCTGGGAATCTATCTTTGTGTACGCTCTCATGCCTACTGTCAAGGGGAGAAATTTACTAATGAAGACCAGTGGATATTATCTCTTGAGTTAGTTAGTTAGTTATATCTAATCGTGTGTTTACAATCAATTTTACGCCGGTTGAAGAATGCTGGTCCCTGGTGAGCTAGGCAGAGGGCGGATCGACTATATACCCCGTCGGGAATCCCGGGAAGAAGCGTAGACCGTACCTGAGTCAATGTCCTTCACGGTGAGAGAGTGAGTGAGAGAGAGAGAGAGAAGGGAGTGAGGGAGTAAGGGCAGTCACTCTCACACTCCCTAATTCTCTCTCTGCTCCACCGCGCGGCCTAACGTCTACCAACAATACCTATCCGCTCTAAACTCTTGCATGATTGCTTAATATACTTTCTCTAACATAAAACTCACTAATAAAAGCCTTTAATCTATTCCTTATATCATCTAACCTTAATAAACACAGGAAGTCTTCTATAACATCAAGAAACATTAATAATTTAAGACAACTTCCAACCTGGAACATTAGAGAAAACGGAGAGGAAGACGGGGGTAACTAAAGCATGTTAATGATGTGAATTACAGTGGGAGTTTAAGGACATGGGTGAGAGGAGAGGCTGGCTGGGAGGAAGTCAGAGTGAACGCGAGGATAGTGACCCCCTCCCCTCTAGTTGTTTATCTTACCAGTGCAAATATTTATCTAGTAATGCAGTTTTCAGACGCGGTGGTCATAAGTCAACAGAGACAGTGGCGAGCGGGATAAAATTTTCTCAACGTGTCAACAGGAAGCATCAAGGGACACCGAACTTCCTCCTCCTCCTCCTCGTGAAGAACAAAGGGGTAACGGAGCTAATTAATTATAAGGTGATGTGCACTTTATCGCCCTTACTGTGACGGAGTAAGTGACGAAAGAGGTATTTATAACTCAGTGTGTTCCTGTCAATCTTCCCACGCCGTGACGCTTGGAGGTGTTGAAGCTCATACAGACGTGATCCCTGACGCGCCGCCATCTTGACTGACCACCCCACCGTCACCTCCTCGCCATCTGTCTCTTACTTTATTCATTTTATATTTGGTTTATTCATTATACAGTCGTGAATATAATTATTAATTTCCGCTCAATTACAGATTAGACTTTGTATCTATAAGCACCTATGTTTTTCTCACCTAACCGATCACTTCCTGCAATTACCTAATACTTAATTACCTCAATGTCACACCGTTGTTGAGTATAACGGAGCACCAATAACCTAACCTAACCTAACCTAACCTAACCTAACCTAACCTAACCTAACCCAACCCAACCTAACCTAACCTAACCTAACCTAACCCAACCCAACCCAACCTAACCTAACCTAACCCAACCTTCGCCTCAGACAAAATATATTTAATTTGACCTCTTCCGGTTTTTTACAATTTAATTTTTGTATGTTACTCATATTTTCCCCATTCTACTGTATATAGAGTCCTCGGTATAGTGACTTAGACCGCTCCCTGTACAGTATATACCGTAGGTGCCCATAAGAGAGTTAGTTAACGTGTTGACCTTGAACAGAACCATTAATACAACATAACACACAGTACAGTAGTTCCCATTACCAAAGTTAACATGTTTTAAATTCTGGCTTTAAGTGAAGACGTGAGGACACATCTTGTTGACTTATTTAAACTACGACACAAAGCAGGGGCGGATCCAGGGGGGGGGGGGGCCCTTGGGATCAGGCCCCCCCCCCCCACCCCCATTTTCATCAGAAATTTCAATACTTTAATACAGTATTGTACTCAGGTGTTTTTGTTTAGTAAAAAGTAATTACTCTTGACCACAGAAAATCACCTAATGTAAAGCGCACTTGGCTTCAAAATGCCCATGATATTGATAAGTTTTTAAAAATAATATGGGAGACCTTACAGCCCCCCCCCCGACCCCAAAAGCTGGGTGGGCTCATTGTGGTCGCCATGTTCCCTCAACCACAACGTCTTGGATCCCTCCTCCTCCCCTTTGATCCTGGATACGCCCCTCCAAAGATGGCGGTCACTAAACACACTCTCTCACTAATTAAGGGACGACGTCAGGTAGAACCCCCCCAGGAAGCACTTTATGGTCGTGGTAATAACTAAACACTTATTACCTTAGTAAAAACAAATTTATCCAAGGTTATATTCTTCATCATTTCCCCAGCCTCCCCCCGCTCCCTTCCCCCTGGTCCAAGATGACGAAATCAAAAGTTGTCTTAAATTCACAAAAATCCTGTTGGTTAATTTCGTCC